AACTTCCAACAAGGGCCAAAGCATCCTTATAGCCAGCATATGCAGCTCAGTGGGGAAAGAGCACTGGCACTGGGCAGTTTGCAGATTTGTATTTCAGAGGGAGTAACACTCACCTAGTAGCATTGCAGTGATTGAAGAGCACATCAGAAAGTCATGTTTGATCAGTGCTAATGTAGTAGTTTATGGTTTAGTGTGCATGTAACATGTTAAACTGACTGCATGATTACTGTATCTCAGAGACTGAAGAGCCTGCCCAGATATCAAAACTTAAAGTAAATGAGAAGTGGCTGCACAAGCCACAGCTTCCAAGCTCTGTGTTTGCATGCAGTTTCTGAGAGGCAATCTGAATGTTGTGTGTCTTTCTGGTACACCTGTGCTAGAAATACAGGCCGGTATTGAACTGGTTTGTTCTGGCCTCAGATGAAAGGGAGCATGGTTCTGAGGCTTTACTGAAGACAGGTCTGTAACAGCAAAAATAACCTGCTCTCATCTGCTTTCAGCTCTGGGGGCAGCAGTTCAGGGCAGTTGCAGCTCAGGTCATTTCCCCTGTCTGCTGGGTGTCTTGGGCTGTGATGGATTTGGGAGGGAAAGAGAATTTTTTCACTAACAACCCCCTGCTTTTATTAAGAGTCTTCAAGTATAAAGGATTTTTGAGGTCCTGGCTAAATTACAGCCATCAAATGCTGTATTTGCACATTTGAAAGAAAAGAATAGAAGGGAAGGGTTTAAATAGCTGTGAGGATTTCTGGAGTCATTATCTAGGGAAAAATCAATTCTGTATGTTTTTGTATGTAGGTACATGCCAGAATTTATTTTAATTTTTATGCAAGATAGAAACAGAAGGGCGTTTTCTGAGTATCTAAGGGGGCTGCAGTAGCACAGTACACTAGCATCATTAGAATTGTAAACAGATCTCTGTCTTGTGTGGGAATATGCAAAATACACAGCTCTACTGACGCTCAGCTTGTATCAAACATCAATTTGATGTTTGTGCAGGCTCCATGCACTGGCTCCCGGCGCCTTATGTGGCTTCTGAGATGGTTGATGACATGTGTACATTTGTGCAGAAGAGCAAATTGCTGTAAATCAACAATTTGAATGCGTAGTGACTTTTGATTTAAGTCATTGGTTTTGCCAATGATTTTTGATGTTTTCCTAAGGAAAGGTCTTTCATCAATACGGCCAAAACCACTGATTTAGAGCAAAGTAGGGCATTTTAACTAATTTTTCTACTTCTTGTTTGCTAAGTCGGTCACATTTATAAAAGCAGCTGTGTATCTCAGCTTAATTAGTCAATAGTATAGCGCTGGAAAAATGTAAATGAGTTATTCCTCATTCACATGTTAGGTGATACTGTTTTGTATTTGCAAACCATATTAAAGTGCATTGGAATTGAAACTGTGATCTGATTACAGATAGTAATAAGTGCACTAATAATATAACACATATCACTGCACTGTGTCTTACAAGCTGTGAACAGAACTGAGTGCCAGTAGTGATTTTCCCTCTAATTCTGCATAGGAGCTGAAGGCAACAGCATCTATAATGGGCAAGATCTGTGAAGAAAAATGTTCCCATATTTATTTATTGAAATCATATCAGGAGTTTGTAGTAATAATAATGTGGATTGTCACTATTTAGAATGCAATTTTGAATTAGCTTTTTAAAAACAAATGAACAAAAACATTTTAAAGAAGATGCTATAATCTGATATAAATGCTTAAAATCCTCCATTTGAAATAAGCTGGTAAGCATGCCCTTCCACAACTCCTCTATTTGCGGAAACTCTCAGACTATTTATTCCTTGAGTGTTAACAGCTCTCCTTTAGCTTTATAAATGTATTTTTGTGCTGACTAATTTAGCTTAGGCCAGCAAGATGTTGTTTTCCCCTTTCTCTCTCAGTCCCATCCCAACAAAGAGCAATAGGTAGCGACTGCTAACTGATGAATCTTTCTGGTGTTGGTGAGGGTTTTGATTATATGCCCAGACTCCAAATGAAGTCCTTTTTGATTTTCTTGTGAATAGGAGGAAGAAAAAATATCGTACTGGGGCCTCATGTCCTGGGCTGAAGAGATAGAGAAGTAGTCTTGCTCCAGTCAGTGGTGGATACTTTAATTATTATTTTCCTGTGGAAATAGGGCTGGCCTTATTTGAAGCAATCAGAGCAGCGGGGAAACAAGCTGACACTGCAGATTGCAGATCTGGGGAAGTCTGCGCCTCACAGAAGCGCTGTACGCCCCCCCAGGTCCTGTGCCCAGGAGCTCTGCTCATTCCTAGGCTCTGTAGCATGGGGACATGATAGGGACAAAGCAACTTGGGCTGCTGGCAGCTGAGGGGTTAGAGCCTTCTGTGAGATGAGGAATTGCAGACCCCAGGAATTTCAAAATCTGGATTTAAATTTCTGATCTAACTCCTTACTCTTCCCTGTACTTGCATAGAAAAAAAAAATCAACTGCTGCTGCCCTGACCTGTATCTACTTGCCACTCACTTTTGGCTGTTTGGCTTTCAAAATTATCTCCACATCACAAGGGCTTCCTTTTTTTCTGAAGTGAAGGCTGAAGTTTGCAAATAATCACATGACTTCCTAACAAAAAAAAAAAATACTTTTGTGAGGTGGGTGACAAACTGTTAGATAATTGATAAAATCTGACTTTTCAGCCTAAGATGCTAGATAAATCTTCACTCAAAACAATGGTAGCAGCAATGATAACAGAAAATTTTATTCTCGTTCTTCAACTGCTTCTAGCGAACTGGTTGGATACACACGCCTTCAGAAATCACTGTTCTTAAATAATATTCTTAAAATACATGCAGATTTGTGTATAAGTTGTTGAGGTTTTATTTAGAAGATCAAGGATAGTCAAGGTGGGCCATTCAGACCTTAGCCTTCCTTGTGAGACACTGAGAAGAGAGAAAATACTGATGTTAGTAGTGGTTTTGTTGTGCGGACCTACTCTGGAAACTTTAGCTCATTTTAAAAAGGAACCAAGCAGTTGTCAGACCTATAAGTCAAATTCTCTTGCGTCATTTTGTTCAAACTCACATCCTTCCACATTTTTAAGGACTGTGAGAGCACATTGTACCGAAGTCATTGGCTTTGGGATCTGGTCTCTCTCATGGATGGACCAGATCCCTTTTTCCTCTTTTGCTGCTGGAGGGTCTCAGAGGAGCAGAACTATTGGGGCAAATATAGTTCCCACCTCATGGCCTCCTGACATGTGGGCACGTGTGGCTCACTGGCACCACAGGGTGGAGCCTGTTATCATATCATCACAGAATGGCTCAGGTTTGAAGGGACCTTAAAGACCACCCAGTTCCAACCCCCTGCCATGACCAGGATGCCACCTACTAGATCAGGTTGCCCAGGGCCTCATCTTCATCTTGAACACCTCCTTCTTCCCAAGCTTGTCCGGGTCCCTTTGGATGGCTTCCGTTCCTCCTGTTGTATCAACTGTACCACTCGGCTTGGTGTCGTCTCCAAACTTTTTGAGGGTGCACTCAACCCATTGCCTATGTCATCAATAAAGATCTGTTAATGCAGATTCGTTGCATTTCTCGCTGTCTGTGCCTGGAGCACCAGGGGATGGAGAGCGTCTGAGGCTGATAACCTACATGGCAGCTGTGCATGGACTTCAGAGAGTCAGCCTGCACTCCTGGGAATTTTTCTAGGAGACACGTTCCCCACATTCCCCAGCGGCAGCTTTGGTCTCAGGAGTGCTGGGCACAGGGGTGAGCTCTCCCCTGTTTGGTGCCACATCAGAGAAGTCCCATGTCACATTCACCACCTGGCTGGCACTGCACTGTCTGTTTTTGAAGGATGGCCAAGCAGAGAGACTGAGAAGGGTATGCAGAGAGCTCAACAAGAATAACAGTAAATAAGTAAATTAGGTTATTTTTCTTCTTCAGTTAGCCTAAGAACTTGAGAAATCAACTCAGGAGGGAAGTGTGTCATTTCATGCAATGAGCTGTATTTGACTCTATTGCTTATCACCATGGATAAATATATTGTGCTTTCTTGCTGAAACAAGCTGACTGCACATCCCTGCTCTTACGTAACTGATGAAGCTCTGTCAGCTGTAGTGTGATTGTCAAAGATGTGTGAAATGGCAAAACACATTTACAGAATGACAGGGGGTAACAATTGCATCTCTCTTAGGAAGTCGTGGCCAGGATTATACCCCAACCCTAGGCCAGGAGAATGGGAGTGGATGTTGTGTCTAGGCCAATTGCACAAGAACGCTCCTTCAGAACCTGCAGGCAGAATCACACATCTGCACCAGGCTGTCAGCATTGAGAAGGGTGATTTTCGTTTCACACTGCTCTCTGGTCTGCATGTGTCTGCTTTAGAGTGGCTCAAAGGGAAAAGGTGCCTTTTTTTTCTGCTTTTGTGAAGGGAGCACAGAGAGGAGAGCAAAAAACGATGGCAATTTGATCATCCAGTTTCTTAGTCTAGTTGCATAAACACACCAGACTATTCCTGTAAATTAAATTAAGCAAATCTTTCATCTTCTCTCCATGTTTCAAGAAAGCTAATGTGTCTGCTTTCTGATTTGGAGCTACAGAGAAGACAAAGATTTGTAGTGTGTACACGCTCAAGTGCCGAACAGCTTCATACTGGAAGAGCCTTACACAAGCTTTAATGGAGTATAAAAGCTTTCTGGGCACCAAGCAAAAATCTGCTTAAATCCTTGACAGGGATGAGAGTGCAGCATGTATTATCAGCATATGCACAGGCTCTAGGAACATTTGCATTTTGGATTTGCTGTAATTAACAGGTTTCAACCTTTTCAAAAAGGTTGAAATGGTGAAAGGAGTAAATACAGAACTCCACATTTTCCCTGTCTCCATAGAAATATTGAGGGCTCTTCCCTTTTCTTTGCATGTGTGCCTGACTTACATTGATCCTAACAGCAATTTTTCTTGAATATAAGGAAAGTGAAATCCCCTAAGCTTCTCTTTCATATTTATAATCATAATTTGGTACTTACATTATGACAGCCCCAGGTGTTCCCTGCCAGTCAAGGACCAAGCCCCCACTGTGCATGATATTGAGAACACTGCAAAAAGTTGTCCCCAGTGTCCAGTGCCCAGTGAAAGGACACCCTTTTCCTCACATGCACGTGTAGAGCTGCATATCTTGAGAGGTGAGTGCCTGCATAGACCCCAGCTGAGATGTGAGAGACATCTCTGAGGCATTATGATACAAGCTGCGCTGAAGCAGAAAGTTGAATGCGTGGCTCAACGGTCAGATCATGCTGTAGGGTGTGGGGGACAAGTAGCTGTTTCAGGACGATTTGACTGCCTAAGATTTCTCTTATTTTGATAACTAATTTGCCAGACTAAAATCTCTCTGCAAAGAGTATTAGTGATCTGTATCCTGGCATACCTGGAGCTATGAGGGGAATATAGGGTGGGTGGATGAATGCAGTCTCTGATATCAAAGACATGCAGAAAAATATTATTCAGGAGCAGGAAAAAGAGTGCTGTAAGATTGAAAATATCAACTCAGTCGCCAATAGTAGTCTGTAAAGATGAGAAAGAAAAGTGAGAAAGGAAGACCATGGCCATTGAGTAGAGGATTCCTATCTAGTGTGGAAGGAAAGTGAGTATCTTTGTACAGATCTGATTATGTAGAAGGTAAATAGAAGCAAGTTGAAGGAAGATTTTTCCCTTTTTGTCTGTTACTAGATGTGAGTGCCACTTCAGTGGTCAAAGCCCTCAGTCCAGTTTCAGCTACTCAAATAGCAGCAGACAAAAACTGGGAATTAGGCAGTGTGGATAAGTTGGTTATTGAATGATTGGACTGTGACCCTCTTCTTGCAGTCAGGGCTTTAAATATTCATATAACCGGGCTCAGACAGATCCTTGCCATCTGTCTGTATTTATTTGACTTCATCCAGACAGCTCCAAAACATGAAAAACTTTATCCTCATAACATCTATTTAAAGAAAATGGAGTTTCTCCTCTGTCTTAAGAGACAAAGAATCAAAACACAAAGAGATTTAGTGATTTACCAGATTTATTAATCTGGACTCCAGCAGACAGGATCGAAATTCAGCCCTTCTAAATGCCAGGCCCAGCTATAGCCCCAGGTTCCCAAGGCAGAAATCATATTTAATACTGTAGGGTGTTGTATGGCTCACATAATATTGCTCATTAAGAAAAAAAAAATGATGTATGTATGCAAGTATAAAGGCAAGTGGAGACTTCAAAACTTGTCTTTTTCTTTTATGCCATGTCAAAAGCCTTAAATAAAGTACAGGCCTTGTATAAAGTCACTGCTCATTTACGCTGGTGACAGATGCCCCTGGTCTGATGCCTCTGGTTAATTAATGCTGAACCTGGGAAGACGCAAAGTAATTTTTCCTTGGTCACATCCTGTGTTGCTCTCCACAAGCTAGTTACTACTATAGTGCTTCAGCTGTTACTTTGCTTCTCTGTCACTATGTGTGTGTATGGGTACAGAATGGAAGTATTTGACAAAGAAAAATCAACAATAAAACCATTATTCATGCATCTCAACCTGCACTGCATTCAGCTGCACACCTTGATGGTCAGGTAAAACAGGATCACTGTGCAAGCTTCAGTAAACACTGTGCACATATGGGCAGTTCTGTGAGGGAACAGATTGTCACAGCTACATTTGACCTGTTTTGAAGCAATTGTATCTCTCCTGTGGCACCGTGGATGCAATGATGACATTTTAGCAGAACTCCTTCAAAAAAATGCCTGCCATTGTCAGAATAGCACAGCATTTTGTAAGAAGAAAGATTTAGATTTTAAATCATGCAACAAGTCCAGTCTGAATGGAAAGGATGACAGAGCAAGACCATTGAGAAGACCAGCCCAGACTTTTTAGTGTACCTACATTAAATTACTGTGGACGTGGGGTTGTGTGACTCGTATGCCTCAGGGTTTTGAATGTGAAGCTCAGATTCAGCTCCTGGAAGCACTCCCTATAGGCAGGATATCACAGAAGAGACATTTGTGAGATGACAGAGTTGAGGGATTTAGTTTTGTGCCAGCTCCCAGAAGGTGGCAAATGTGCAGTAGTAGTCCACTGTATCTTAGCTTACTTTCTTATCTGTCCAGACCCTTGTTTTCATGCTATTTTTAGGCAGGAGTGCATTTTAAGAACCGAAAGGAATGCATTTTCACTGTGGTGCTAAAGAAACTGTTACATGTGTGCCAGAGGGAATCTTTGTGCCTTTAGCACAATATTGAAGTATTTTTATTTTGAGGATCTTTCTCCTTGACTTAGTCTTTAAGAGTAGCTGCGATGCTCTGAGTTATATATTTTTGTTGTTGACTTCTTTTGTAAATGTTTTTCAGGCATTGGAAAAAATGTCATCTGTGACCGAACAGCAACTCCCCTGGATGCCTTCAGGATGATGACTGCGGCTCATTATTACCCAAAGCTCATGAGCATTATGGGGAACGTCTTGCGCTTCCTGCCCGCCTTCGTGAAAATGAAGCAGCTGATCCAGGAGGGTTATGTGGGGGAGCTGCTGGTGTGCGAGGTGCAGGTTCACAGTGGAAGCCTGCTGGGCAAAAAGTACAACTGGAGCTGTGATGACCTGATGGGAGGCGGAGGTTTGCACTCAGTTGGCACCTACATTATCGATCTCCTGACCTTCCTCACCAGCCAGAAGGCCGTGAAGGTGCATGGCTTGCTCAAGACCTTCGTGAAGCAGACAGACCACATCAAGGGGATACGGCAGATCACCAGTGATGACTTCTGTACGTTTCAGATGGTTCTGGAGGGTGGCGTGTGCTGCACGGTGACGCTCAACTTCAATGTCCCTGGGGAGTTCAAACAAGACATCATTGTGGTGGGTTCGGCAGGCCGGCTGATTGTAATAGGCACTGATCTCTATGGACAGAGCAACAGCTCTCCTCAACGGGAGCTCCTGCTGAAGGACTCCACGCCGGTCAGCAATTCCTTACTTCCAGAGAAAGCATTCAGCGACATCCCATCCCCGTACCTCCGAGGCACCATTAAGATGGTCCAAGCTGTCCGGCAGGCATTTGAGGGTCAGGACGACAGGAGGACCTGGGACGGGAGGCCTCTCACAATGGCCGCCACCTTTGACGACTGTCTTTATGCCCTGTGTGTGGTGGACACCATTAAAAAGTCAAACCAGCTGGGGGAGTGGCAGAACATTTCGATCATGACCGAGGAGCCAGAACTGAGCCCGGCGTACTTAATCAGTGAAGCCATGAGGAAGAGCAGGATGTCTCTGTACTGCTAGCTCCACTCAGCTCCTAGGAGAGAATAGGAACCAGACAGCTCTTAAAGGAAATGGTAACTCAGCCCTTGTGAAGGGCTTGGGCATCTTGCAAACAGCAGAGGATATTGGGGGAGGAAGTACAGTGTTTGGATCAACTAAGCCCGTTGGTGGCGAAATACCAAAGTGGTAAGAAAGCAATGCCCAAAATGGATAGGAGAGTTAAGAGCTGACATAACTGTTTTAATAACAGTATTAGCTGGCTGATTGGAAAGATAAATCATGGACTCATCTCCTGCTTGCAGGTGCTTCAGATTATCCAATTGTGTTTACTGTGAAAGGTTGGGAAGGTCCTTTAAGATTTTCCTGACGTACCAGAGGGCTGTGAAGGTACTGTCATGTCATCAAATTTTCTGTAGTGTTTGACATGAATGGTTCCTAACATGACAGCTGACACCACCATGCTGTACTACTGCACCTCTAACACACAGAGTAACAGGACTTGGTGTGAAAGTGTCGGGTGGTATAGAAAATCTTGGCAGCTCACTTTTCATACAGCTTTTTAGGAGCTTCTATGTGTTGGTTTAATTAGTTGTTTTGTCATTTCTTTTAAAGCACAATTAAGTAGAAAAATACGTGGCTTTTATGAAGCAGCCCTCAACCACAGCGCGTATGCCGTGGTGTTAAGGAAGCGAGGGCCTTCTGTGAGCTTACATTAAGCTGCAGCATTAGCTGTACAGATTTGCTGATGAAAATGGGTTGTGCAAAACCTTCATGAATGTCAGGTGGCATGAAACAGTAGTGCTGGTGGGGTTTATTATACAGCTGAACTCAGGCTAGTCTTATGAAGGTTTACACTCAATTTCCTGTGTCTGGGACTCACTTTTGAGTGAATTCATCTCGCATTTCGGTTTTAGGTGGAAAACAAAAAAAACAGAAATCCAACAGAAAACCATTTGATGCTTAGACAGTTCTTTTAAACCTTTGTGAGCTCTCACTGGAGACGTTTACACCAACAATTAATTTCACATAGCTCAATCCAGAAGGTTTCACGCTCACCAAGTGGTGTGTGTGAGTCAAAAAAAAAAGGGGGGGGGGGAGAAGATTTCCTGTCATTTCCAGGGAAACTTAAGACCCTCACTTCTCTACCTGCTTAAAGTAGCTAGCTATTGGTACTGTAGTAATTGTTCCCTGTCGTCAGTGCAGGGGTGGACAAACTTTTGATGTGTTTGTCCTGTCCTTTTAAATGTTTTAGATTGCAGTCATGAAAGAATATATTCTTTCAGTTCTTATAAGAATATAGTGAAAGGCACATGTATTATCCCAGTAAATGGGGATACTGCTGTTCTGCATAAAGCTGCTCCTGTGCTTATGTGTGTACAGCACTAAGTCTTTAGATAGGAAAGAAGTAGAAAAAGCATATAGCATTAAATCATTTTAAAATTGATGAAAACCTTTTCAGTTTGTATTTTTTATTTTGTTAATTTTGTCTAGGGAAAAGAGGAAAACGTTTGGATTATTAACTATTATTAACAATTTGGTAAATTAAAAGAAAATATGACTCTCTTTCTCAAGGCCATTAGATTACTGTTGCCATTTTAGGTTAGAAAGAGAACAATCAGAATAATTTAGATTTTTTTTAAAAAGCACTAACAGTTTTAGTATTTTTAGGAGCACTAAGGGCTTCTGAAGAGCTCCTTCAAATGACTTCCTCTGATTGCTGTATCCTCCTGCCTGTCCTGTTCCCACTTTTAGTGCTGCAAATTAGGAAACTTGAATCCCACCCCAAAATTACTAGTGTGTGCTTCATTTTTAAAGGGTGTATACGTGTGACTTTTCATTAAATACTCCCTGAAGTGTAAGGATGTGACTAAAGAAGAAATGACATGATACAAAAAAAAACACAACCAAACAGAGAATTGCTTCTACCCAGATTGTTCTGCCAGTTCTAGCATTTTTCTCTGGGGCACACCGCTTCTGCTGAGGCCTCGGGCAAGCTTTCATCTTTCCTTCTTGGAAGCAGCTCTTGACAAGTTTGGATGTTTTTCCTAGAACTGATTTCTCTGAGAATTCCTGTAGTAGTATCTGTGCCAACTAGAATTTCCCAATTGTAATTGTCGTGGTATACCATGCTGCACAGTTCTAGCTCTTAAAAATGCACAAAAAAAATACAGGAAATCAAGTTCGATAAAGAAATCCTCTCTCCTGAAAAAATGAATTAGCCCCAAAGGGATCAAGGGAGATTTTTATATTGTTAGGCACAAGCCCTTTATTGAAAATGCTGGCAATTTCAAATTATGAATGTAAGCCTGGTGGATAAGTAAACATATGTCTAGTTAAATATCATCCCAAACTGGAACTAAACATGGACCAAAATGTTAGTGAATCTTGCTTCTTAGTGCTTTGGCCATTGTGCTGGAATTGCTGCTCGTGTCTTTGCACCTTGTTTTGGTTCACAAATGTGGACAGCTTTTCTTATCTGCATTTTATTTGTTTCCATGTCTTTCTGGGTTTTGTGATGCCAGCTGGAAGAAGATATGTTGGAATCATAGACAGCCCCTCTGCAGTGAACCCAGGCAAAATGCAGAGAATAGGGATAGTACTACTGAGCTTGACCTTTATGTCCTGGATCCAAAGCTTTAGGTGACACACATTATCCATCCCCTCTGCAGACTTACCAGTGCAGATATTGCTGCTTAGCAGAAATAAAATCTAATGCTTTGCTATCTGATTTAATGCCATCTGATGCTGGTATTAGTACCAGCTTACCAAATCCTGTACAGCTCCCTTGGTGAACACAGTGGTGCTCCCAGGATGAGCAGGGGCAGGGTGGGACCTCCTCTTCTGCCAGCAGCATAGATGTTAGGCTAGATTTAGGTGAACTTGTTACCTCGCTGGGACGGCAGCAGTAGCAGCATACGTGCAGGATTGTATGACATTTTTTCCATTCTCAAGGAGGTGAAGGTGCTATAGTGTCGCTTGTAAATACACTAAACTTCCACCTGGCTAAGAGGAGCAAGGACTTGGTTTATTTGAAGAACAGGTATTAGTATTCTAAAAATAAATGTTACTTTACAGTCTGGGATCTTTCTTGGCAGTATGAAACCCTCTGCTCTTTTGGTACAGTTGAAAGTACATTGAATTGCCCTAAGCAGCCTCTGGAGTTCACGCTGGGTTTAAGGATTTGAGCAGGAGTTAGAAGAGGTGTACTTGATTGAACTCAAAGCGGTACTGCACCAGGGAGCATATGTTTGGAATTGCACTTTTAATGCTGTTCTTTAATGCTGTGCCACAAGATTTGAGATGAACACTGCTAGAATTGGTGCAGGCCTAATAGCCAAACTGAGGCTACTGCTGGAATTTACAGTAGCCCCCAAGTGAGCATGTTCATACACTAGATGAGATATGTTCATTAATCTTTCCTAGGGCTCCTGTAGAGAGGCTCTTTCCTTTGCCATTTACCTGTGCACACTGTATACTGAACATTATGGTCTGTTGCCAAAGACAAAAAGAACCAAAGGGGAGAGCCTGGGTGAAGTGCTCTGCTGCTCTGCAGGGATTTCTTCCAGTACTGGGATGGTCAGGTGAGAGACGATGTCCTATTTTCAGTGGGAATTGTATGGGCTCCACAGCAGGGGAAGGGCAGCCCTTCCCTGTGTCCCTGTGCAGCAGCAGGGGAGAGCTGAAGCCCTTCCAGGTGCAACAGGGAGAATGGTAGTTGCAGCGGCGAGTGGAAGGAAGGCGTGCCTGCAGCCTGGTACCTCTGTGCCCATGCCAAAGGGGAAAATGGTGGCGCAGAGGGTGAGATCTGCTCTGCCTGAGGGTGAGAGCAGCAACCTTGATCCACCTCTGTGTCAGGGAGCCCCAGGAGGGGCCCTGCCCTTGACGAAGCAGCATCTGTTCTGTGCTCTTGGTAGATGCACGCACACCCTTAGTGCTGACCTCGTTCAAGTTCCATGCGGAGATGAAGAACTCTGCAAGAGCTTTAGGGCTTCCTATTTCTAATATCTTGCATGTTTTAAATTAGTAGTATTTTAGCTGTGTAGATACAAAATACTGAGTAGAGATGATAGGTCCTTACCCATGCAGCCTATAAGGCAGAGAATCAGGGCTTGCATAGACAAATTTAGGCTCAGGATGGACTGCTGCGGAGTTCATCCTTTGCTTTGGCTGAAAACATGAGAAATTCCTGCCCAGCCAACACAGGGCAATCAGAGGCACTCTCCACTTTGTTCTTAGTGTTTCCTTCTTTTGGGTAGCTTTTGAATCACAGTGACTGTACGAGTTAACAGCTGTCCTGGAAGTTCAGCCATTCAAAAAAGGAGGCTTTTCTGCTCTGTTTGGTCACAGCACAAAGACAGTTCAATTCTGTGTTACGTTGTTAATTTCTGTGTCCATACGAAGGGGAAAAGACCCAGACAATTGAAAATGACTACCAAAAAAAAGCAGATTTTATTTCATGGGTAAAGATAAACATAGTATTGTGTCCTCACAGAGATCCAGAAATTGCTGATGACAATTTCTTGTTGCTGAGAAATTTTAGATTTGACTTTTATCTATTACCTTCAGTGTAAAGTATTACAAATTACAGTCTCTTCACTGTTAAGTTCTGTATTTATGGTGGTTTAAAAGCATCCAGTAGATTTTGGGCTTTGTGCAAATACCCAACGCATTGGCCTGATGCTCCAGTGACCTAGTGATGTACCTTTAAGTATGTATGAAACTCAACACTGGACTCTTTGACCTCTGTAGTGCTCTTGGGGTGTTTAGGACTAGTTGTGAAATGTCAGGATTATTCAGGACAGCAGTTTCTTGTTGAAGTTTTTACTTGTGGGGAGCAAAGCTTGTAAATTTTAGAGATGATGTATGAATGAATAATAATTGGCAGTCATTTCTGTTTCTAAATTTCCTCTCTCTTGAGCTGCTGGTGAAGTCTGACCAATAAAAACAATTTCCCCTTAACAATAACTGCCCACTTCCATTTGCTCATGAAAAGAAATTTTCAGTAGACAGGACTGTACCTAATGCTGCATTCATGATCCTTTGTCATAATCTCATGACTTATTGAGCGTATGAAGCCAGAGCCCAGGCAAGTAATAGCTTTTTTAAGTCTGCCAAACAAAGAAATGGGGTTGGCAAGTGAAGGGTATCAGCTTAGGTCAAACTGAAATAGCTTCTATTCATCATTTTCAGTTAAATGAGTAAACAAAATCGCTGTAGTCAATCCAAAATTGAACACAAAATGTGTTTGTAGGTGGTCTTTTTTATTTTTTCTTTTGGGATTAAGTTCCATTTTTAAAGATCACTGTTTTGAAATGAAGTTTTAAAAAAATCCATTTTACTATGTTTTGGCATGTGTGAAATTAACCATTTGGAGTTGCAGGTTTTTAAAATTGTTTCAAGTTCACACTTCAAAAAATCCCATCCATGTTCAGCTGCCCTTGGGCAGGTTTGGCTCTGAACCTGTAGTCTTGCGGTGTCATGCAGTGACCCCATTCCAGCATCTGAATTTGGCCATCTGGGTTTCATTTGTGTCTTCTTGTGGCAGAGGGGAAACTGGTTCATTACATGGTGTTAGCTGTAGATGGTCAAAACACTTTTTGCAGCAGTGCCAGCCATCGTCTTTAAAAGCACTTAAATCTATTAACGTGTTTACTGTGGTCATTTACGACCTTGCAGCCATGTGCTACCATCCATTACTCCCTTTTCCTTTTACACCATCCATCAGGCTTGCTTGCCTCCCTCTTCTTTCCTTCTACTGCAAGTCACGAGGCGGGTCTCTCTCGTTTCCCACTAGGTTTACTCTCAGTCTGTGTTACACATGGCATACAGGGTACTTGACTTGAAGTAACTTCTAATACAAACTCAGTAAAGATGTCAACAGCGCAAACCACTCAAGTACATGTACATGGCATACCTGATGCCCAGCTAGGGCAGGAATCAAAGCTCCCTGCTGTGCCGTGCTTCACAAATTACACTCACTGTTTCTGTCTGTACTGGTTTTCTTTGATTTGATTTTGAAAATGGGAGTATGTTCAGTTTGTTGCTGTGTCAATATTAAGTATATATTTATTGTTTTTCAGACATACATACATATATATAAATACTATGTATATAAAATGTCAACGCATGGACATATGTACAGTAGATATTTTAAAGAGCTATTTATCAAGAAAAATAAGTGTTAAAAGTAAACAGAGTTTATATTTTATATATTATGTAGATAGGAAAAAAAAGTGTTTAAATTATAGTAGGACTTTTGGGGGCGGGGGGTGGGGTTGGAGAAGCGGACAAGGACTGGTTCTAGCATTTTAAATAGCCAAACTACTTTGTACGGAAGCTGCCTGCTGTGCCTCTCAGCTGCAATATCTGTTTGTTTCTTCTTCTGGAAGATGATGTGCATTGTTACTTTACATTGCTTGGGGAATGTAGTTAGCTTATTCTCAGCCAACTGGTATGTGCTGCTTAAAACATGGTTTTCTGGTGTTCTGCATATTTTCATTGATGGATTAAAAGGATCTTAACTGGCAAATAAAGACATAAAAGGATGTGATCTGAACTGCCTGTCGTTTTTCCCCGCAATTGTATTGGTAGTAACCATCACTTTCACCAGCTTTCTAAGTTGAGCGCATCTGAGAAAAAACAGTCTTCGTGTTTGGGGGTGGGGGCTGTGGTGTAAGGAAAGAGGGGAGACAGAATTAGCAAGGAGCTATTTGAAGGCGTAATGCTACAGCAAGGCCTGAACTAATGCCTGCTACGTGGTATGTCCTGGGGAGACAGCCCGTTTTATTGCCAAAGGGTGCCATCAAAGGCAGCGCATCCAGGGGCATAGCAAAATGGGGGCGTAGTACACCCCTAAAGAGCACAGCCTGGAGATCCTTTCAGGGCCCTTCTTACCTCCCCATGGATGTCCTGGGATGCTTTTGCCTTCCTCATCCTCGGCTGCCTCCAGTGACTTCCCCAAGCCTACCCAGCCCTCACTCCCATCCCTCCTAAGGAGCTTTTAACTCCAGCCCCTCTGATGCTGGATAAAACCTCACTGAGTACAAAGCAGAAGATCATAAGAAGCAGCGGGAAGGATTCATTGCTTTTATGACTGACTGTTAAAAGGCCACAACATCCCCTGTGCTGCTTTTTCTATTTTACAGCAGAGTGTGCAGAAAGACATCGGGTTCTGCTTGTTCCAGAGCTCACTCATTACCCAGACACCGGGACAGTACAGCGAGTCTGGGGCATCAAACTGTGAATGGGGGGGAAACCAGAACCACTTACAATGCACCCCCACACCCCCAGATCACATGATCTTGTGATTAGTATATATTTATATATATATATATATATGTTTTATGTATATGAAAATAGAGTGGGTATAGCATTTACTTCAACCCAGAAATGCAGCTTGTTTGTAATATTTACTACTACCATAGCATCTATAATATTTTTTAAATGTACCAATGTTTATATACACATAAAATGCGCTTTTATCAGTTTTCATACAGATTGTTCTCTTAGACTGAAGAGGAGGAGAGCACGAGGCCAAAGAAGAATTGGTGCCCAGAAAGACTGAGCATAACCTTGCTCAGTCAGGCTTCCAGACCAGCATCTCCAACTGATAAATTAGCCACTGAAATAAAACAGGGCCAAATTTTATGGCGTATTCTTTCAAATCAACTTCATAGTAACATCAGGCCTACTTCCATTTCAAAAGCTAAAACAAAAATATTTGGAAAACAGCACCTAGGGGAACAATTCCTATGAAAGAAAATGTCAGAGATACAGTGGGATTATTAGTACCTAGTTCCAGCACACATAGTACTTAACTACATCGGTAAGTGCAAATGCGACAGCGGATATAAAAATACCACACTAATGAGGCTATAGAAATGCTAAGGTAAACATTTTCAAATGTGGGTCAGTATAGTGAGACATGTATGTGTAGATTTATGAACCTAGGTAAGAGTTCTGCTATTAAACGTAAGTAAAATGTGAAAATGTATGTGGGGAGGGAAACCTCTTGCCATTTTCCATAGCTTTTGTGAACTCAGGCTTCCACAGTCCCACCAGCTTCTGCTGTTTTCTGGAGCCCCTGCTGATAAGCAGCTCTGTGGTAAGAACAATGGGTGGCTTGTAGCCATAAGGATTAATCAGGCAAATGTTAAATGCATTGCATTGTTCTCTTCAGGAATGAAAAAGGTGCTGTGGCAGGGATTATTAAAAAGTATTGTTGTGCCAAAGACAAGCAGCACTGAACACCTTCAAGACTGATTGCTGTCAGGTGGTGGGAAGCCAAGCTCTCTGTAATGCTGTGCTGCTGCTGTGATACCAGCATTTCAGTGTGGACGTAAAGGATGGGCAGGACAACAGGGCCTTCTCTGGCCCATGTAATACTCCAGACTGGCTCCAACGGAGGATGGACAGCATGGTTGTGCCTCCTGCAGCCTGTCCTGAGGCTGGTGTCAGGGGGAATGGCTGCCACAGCCCAGCAGCACCCACAGCACCTCCTGCTTGGGCTGCTCAGGCCCACGTGCCTGTGCTGATCACTGCTGCTGCCATCAAGCTCAGCGTGGAAGGAGGAAATCTCCATCACACAGCCCCAGCAGGAGGCCCACTCATAATGGCTAATGCTCATCACCTACATTTTTTTTTTTTTTTTTTTTGTAATATATTTTCCCCTTGGGAATGCTCCAAGTAGTGAACTGAGCACCACAAATCTTGATAGTGTCCCCACATCTTTGCTTTAAAATGAACAAATGTGGCAATCTACTTGCAGCTACAACTCCATGAGCTGGTTCCTGAGAGATGAGACCAGGCTGTGGGCAGATGGAGAACACCAGTCCTTGCTCCTGGACCCAGCTTTGTTCCTGCCTTCCCCGAGTACTGGCACCAGAGACCGTCTGTGCAGCCATATGGTTCATGTGATCTGATTTTGCTGGAAACCCAAAACATGTTTTTTTCACTGGATTACTTTTTAGGCAGATCTGTTCCCTGATCTGATTAATTATCAACAGCAATTCATGACAGATCACTTTAATAACAGAATGTAAATAGAAACTGGGTTGCCAGGTTGCCCATCTGCCAGAAATGTGATTTTTCTTTTTCCCCCCATTGGATGAAAGATTCAGTATAGTAACTGTAGAATAATAAACAGGTCCAAAAGAAAAAGTGTATGGAGGAAAAAAAAATAGGTTCTGCATTTCCATAAGAAAGGATATACATATAAGCAAATGTTTCCTAGGAAGGTGAAGGCTCTCTCCTCCAGACATTGATGCACAGTTATCTGTGCCGCAGAAGTGGTGTACATACAGAGTCTTAGAGAAACCTTTCATAGTCTGCTCCAATCTGTTTTAATAACTCTGCCTTTTGCAGTTAATCAAATCTTGCAGACTAAAGGCTCTTGCAGAAATTACATCGCATCCAAGCAATGATGAGTGCCTCTGAATGCAACTGGCTTTGTTGCTTGTGCAAATACATTTTACCCAGTGTTTCAGCTGAACCTGAAAAAGCTCAGACCTACTTTTCAGTCCTCAAGAATCCAGAGATAGCTAGAAATGGAGCTTGACTTACAAAATGCATAGTGCATTTTGTTTGATTTTTTTTTTTTGTACTGTTGCTCCTAAATTGCTAGATTTTTTTTTTTAATGTTTCTTTTCAGTAGTGTTAATTGTTATAAATTCTGAAGTATCTGGTTTAAAAAAAATAAAAATAAAGGAGTCTCCTTACCATGACAAACTCGCCAGATCAAGAAGGAAGGTAATCACACAGACAGATTCACAAGAAATGCAAGAAACACAAACATTCCCAGGTGCTGATTCTCTAAGGTGACTAATTCTCTGTCCTGTTAAATTCTTAGAAATATTCCAAGAATGATTTTCGGCTTAGATCAATTTATATTTTTCTGTATCACTCCTGTGTCACAGTTTGGAAGTTAGCGCACAGCAGAGACTATTCCCACCAACCCAGTTGCTTGTAACCACCCCCTTTTGGAGGTTATGACATTAATGACAGGGATGTGGGCCATTCTGTGCCAATTGGCCTTGGTGCCAGAGGGAGGTGGCCCCAGGCCACTTTATCTGCCACTATGGATGTGGCTTAGATGTGAGAGCTAATTGTAAGAACTGGAGGATGTTGGTATTAGAAAACTACTGCATTAAAAATGAGTCTATCTCTGTCCCAGAGCTAGGAAGCTCAGGTATAGACTGTGCTGAGCTGTTGCAGCAGAACGTATTTTGGTTAAAATAGACAATTTTTCCATTCCCTGTTCTATGCCTTTTGCTTCCATTTCCATAACAGCAGAGTCAGTGTCCCATAGGACACCCTGCCCTTCTGGCTACAGAAATTGCTAGCTCTGAATAATTTGTTTAGGACTACAGGAGGAACAGGGCCTCCATGGAAAAGTGACTGAGTCACTTGCTGATTAGACAAAGCTCACAGCTATCCACCCACATTCAGCAAATTGCTTCCTTAAAAGTTTACTACTTGCACATGCTTGAAGTACCTTGTAAACATTAACAAGTCCTCACAAAATGAGCTCTTGTGATTATCTCCATTTTGCAGCTGGCAAGGTGGAGGCAGAGGTGAAGTTGGTAAGATGTCTATGAAGAATTTATCTTTTCTATTAATTTCCTGCTTCTTTGTTTGTTTCTTTTGTTTTTCTGAATTAGATTTGCTTTCTCCCTGTGGCTGAACCCATGACTTGAAATGTTGCTGTCAGAAGGCCCTCTAAGTGTCCAAGAGAAAAATTTCTCATTCTGGACTGGGTACGAGTTTAGGTCTTTATGGAATTTCAGCTTGGTTGGAAATAGTTTCGCAAATACGATTAAAAATTTTTTTTTTTTATTTACTTGGAGCTTCTAACTATTTTAATGGCATTTTTTGTAGTTATTGTTTTCTCCTTTTATGGAGTGATGGGTCTGAACTGTTTAGCATTAAAAAGATTTTAAAAGTGGAAGGTTTGAAATTGCAAGCTGCTATTTTAAAATACATGTGGAGATATTTGTGTTTGTAACAGGATCTCAGTGGTTTTATGAAGTAGGTACACACCATTCATGATTTTAACCTTGTCTTTTGAAAACTAGAGACAAAGTGGTAAACCATGCTCTCCAAGGCCACACAGAGCACATCTATGACATCCAGATACTAGATCCTGCTGCTTTAATTTCTAGTTCCCTTTAAATAGTTCTTAAGCCTAATATAATTCTCATACATTATAATTAATATACTTAGTCATATATAATTATCATCTAATTAGCTGCTGTGGTTTGTGAATGCCAAATAAGCTAGTGTTGTCTGCACAGTCTAAGTTCAAATCCATCAGTTTATAAAAGTGCTAGCAACACCAAAGCCACTACCAACAGCTTTATCTAAGCAAATAAACTTTGTGCAGCCCTGTCTATGGAGGTGAAGGTGAGAGACTGCACGCTCCAAGAATTGATTTTTAAAACCAAGCTTATAAGATCAGCAACAGATCTATGTGCTCACCAGGAAATCGCTAAAATAATCAATTAGCCTGGAAAAGTGCTAGTCAGCATCCAAAAAAAGTCCAAGTCACTCCACAGTTCTGTTTGACATTTCAAGAAATGGTGTTAACCCTACAGTTCATACTGCTCAGTTTGGCAAGGATTTCTGGTAAAAATAAACAAACAAACAAAACAGAACAACAACAACAAAAACCTTCATAGATAATTCTTTTTATTTCCCACTGGCAAGTTCTCGGTGCTAATAGCAGCAAATCATCACCTGGAGAGGCCGAAGACAATCACCCCAGTGTAAATTTGGAATTTATGAGGTAAACTGTTCAGTGTTTTTTATGGTTTTCCATTATTCTCTGTAACAGTAACCAGAAAGCAGGACATTGGTGCTACTTTTAGTGACTATGAGAAAGGGACCTGGAAGGCTGAGACAGAAAAACATGATCGGGAGGGAGGTGGAGACTATTTTGTCTTATCACAAAACAAACACCACTCAGCCATTCTGGTTTAACAGCTTGTCTTCATGTGTTAAAACAAGCCTCAAAACCATGACTGATATAATGTAGAGTAATTAATTAGTTGCTGCTCAATCCTTTAAATGAGTGTGCTAGCAAAGCCTTCTGAGCTCCACGGAGATCAAAAGCCAGCTTGTGTACAAGTCTCCCCACCCCCCATTGGTAGGCAGGCTTTTGGAAAGAAGGTGATTAAGTGTCAAATTACTCTTTGGGGGTACCACTGCTGTGTATGCTGCATGGCTTTGGTTGGATCTGAGCCTTTCACCCCTCGTTAGTGATATCAGCGAAGTCACTGAGTTAGGTTCTTCCTGCTGACCGTAGGGAGCAGATTGGAGCTATTTTGATTTTTTTTTTTTTTCAATATTAAATTAGAGCTACCAGATAACACGGCTATTGAACTCCATGGCCAAATCCTCAAGCATGGTCGCCAGGTGCTGCTCTCACTGCGGGTGCTGGCAAAGGAGGGTGGTAATGGTTGAGCGACACCAGCTACTGGGACCCGGCTGTTAAAATACCACCTTGAAACATTGGCCAAGTGCTCACTGTAGAGAATGTCTGCTTCAGATCTTCCCAGGGACTGAAACAAACCATCTCCACCTTCATCCTGGGTCATGGGACTCAAGAGGAGTCAAACCCTTTGTAACTCCTTCTTCAGTCCACTGCACTGTGCAGCTTGTCCAGGCCCTAAAGTTTTGGGGGTGCTTGGTTGAGTGAGAAATGCAGATCCAACCTCCATAGCCAGCTGGTGACCTTGGATTAGCCTCTAGGCACGTTTCTGGCTTTGATACAAGAAGTGCTGTAAGGATGAAACATGGCCCTAACTCCAACTTGCTGTCTCATGTTTGTGGCAGGTACTTTCACATTGCCACAATTTTTGCTCCATCTCTGGCCATATAGCGTAATCATAATAGCTATACCTGATCTGTATGCATGATTTCTTCATTAAGACTCTCAAGGCCTGACATTTAATTTGCCCAGTGTGCCTAAACTGACCAACATTTGTCTCATTATCATCTCATTGTCCCATCTGAATTAAAGAGAAGCCAAACAGAGAAAAGATTATTTGTGACTATTCAATTATTTGTTATTATGTTGTGCCCCAAATATGCCATGCTCATTGACAGAACAAAACATGGTTTTGTTACTATTTAAAAACTCACAATCCTTTTTTTCAGCCAAAAACATCAATCACATCCTTTGAACTCAGCTACTAGTCAGGTGTGTAGAAGAATCAGAGCATGCACAGTTGATATCTGAGGTTAAGCAAGATATCCAAGTTATGATTGGAATCCAGAAGACATCCTAAAAATCATTAACATGATCTTAAAACAATTCCATTTACTACTGGAGTGAGCAACTGCATTTTGGTATTCCCTTAGTAATTGTCTTGCAGTTTCCATATGTCTTCAGACAAAAGCATGTCATCTCTGAAATGCTCTCATTCTCTAACAGAAAGGGAAAACAGAGAAGTAGGACACATCTGCACTCAGCTTTCCCAGTTCAGCTGCTCATCAGGTGTTTTTGGCCCTGTGGGCCTTTACTTTGCTGCCATTTGGGGATGTGTATTCATAATTACAGAGATAGTGTTTGGTCTGCTTGGAGGCAGACATGGTGAAATGAAAGGCTAGGTTCCTTTTTGCTGCCAAATTGTTTTATGATATTTTTATTACCCCAAAGTGTTTTTGTTTTGTTTTTCATCTCACTTCAATGAGGATTGAGTTAGAAACACTTATAGCTCCAATGTTGGCATTCTTCTCTCAGGTAGGATGTAAACAGCAGAATGATGCTGTTTTGGCCAGGAAATGGGGCCAAGCTTTTCTCAATCTGCTGATGGTCATAATGAAATGGTTCTGTGAATGTGTAAGTAAATTTTCCTTTCCATTAACACAGCCCTACTCACTATCTGGAACTGTTCAGTCTCCTGAAGAAACAGAAGATTGTATATTAGAAAAGCTGAAATTACCAAATTTATAACTCCATTCCAACACATTAATCATGTACTACTACAATAGGAACAAGGGATGGTGCATCAGCAAACTGAAAGTATGCATTGGTTTTGATATACAGTGAAGATATCCTCAGCCAAGCATCCCTAAAAAAGGAAGTGCATCTTCAGTTAGTTCAGAGCAAATGAAACTCACCTGAAAACTGCTTATTTTTTGTATGTTACAATATGCATTTAATGACATAGAAATATGGACCTCTGTGCTGTGTAAAATCAGTGTTCCATTGCTTTGCATTTTCATCTTCTTTTGGTAATTTCACACAATAAGGTGTGCTTCCAGTAACCATCTGCAATTCCACTGATAGGTCAGGCATACATGAGAGAACAAAGCCCAAAACACTTTCCAAGAACTATAATATTCAACAGCATAAAACTCCCATAAAATTATTCCAGCTTTAAGAGCAAAAGCATTACTTTTCATGAACCATGGGAACAATACAGTTCATATCTTGCAAGAAATAAAAACATTAGCAATGCCCTTTTGGCTTCCTTCTCATGTGACTTTGTATGTCAGTGAGTAATTCACTTTTTCAATACAGACCTATTACTAGAAAATACAAATGCATTAATACTCAAATTAACAGATAAAGGTGAGAGATGCAGTATGCTACCAGGATGCTAATGATTTTGGCTCTGCTATCTGAGATAATTCCAAGTCAATTCCAAACCTGTTCCCCTTTTATCTGTTATGTGTTATATCTTTTTGGATGTTATTGCACTTAAATATTAGTTTGTATGTTTTTTTTTTTTTTTTTTTTTTTTAGGTTATTATTGCTCCGAGAGATGCCTTGGAAGGTATTATTGATTAAAGATAATTTAACCAATCAATGTTATTATAAACAGTCTTTCACTCAGCTGGTTGACTCCTGCAGCTATTCATGATGAAATTCTGCTTTCATTTACAATGGCAACAAATAGATTCCATTGGTAAGAATGAAAATAATTCATTTCCCTAGACAAAGGACAATCAGATCATCAGATCATTATTCGGTTTATGAACATGTAGACAGTTTAATATGTTGATTTAAGTAATGCAATCACCTGTGTGCTTTGCAACACTGATTTACAGCACATACAGTCATTTAGCCATTTTCAGTGCAGGTGGATGTACAAGGGTAGTTGTGAGGAAGTAGGGCTGTTAAATAAAGATGGATAAATATAAATAAAATATAGTAAACATAAATAAAATAAAGAAAACGGTAAGTATGTCCAAATGTTGATAGGGCTTTTTTTTTTTTTTTTTTTTTTTTTTTTTTCCTTAAAAAAAATAGGTTTGTAGGCTTTTTTTTCGCTTTATATCTGTCACCAAACAATGGTCTTTGTCATCATTAGCAGTTCATGCTAAGCCTATGCTTTTAATTTTGATTATGTTTTGAAAAGTCTCTAATTAATTTCTTTAATTAATTTCCTAGTGATCTAAATATAGTGACTGGTAGTCAGATTTACAGTTGGCTTTGGCTGGGATTCCACTATAAACTATTAAATAAATGTTAGAAACTGTTTACAGACACCATTAAGAAAAATGGTGTGTTTCAGAAATGTGACTGAGAAACCTGTAATATGTAGTTTAGAAACTTTTCTAGGGGGAGCATATTATTATTTTTTTTTGGGTGGTGGTATTGATTTTATGCTATATTTTCATGCAGCTAAACTTTTCGGACTTATTTTTACTATTCATTTGATTAATCAAAGCCATCATTACTGTATTAACCTGATACAAATCCACAGTACAGCACCTGGTAGCTCAGCTGCTTAAAATATTTTTGAATCTGCTGTACAATGAACAGTGTTAAAACGAATTGTGCTAGCTTTAGCCCTTTTTAGAGCACCACTAAAGCTATGTGACACATATTGACGAGGTCAAGAATAAGTACTTTTAAATGACAGAGATGTGATTGAACTTCTGTAGCATTTTCCTGAATCTTGTGATACTTGTTAGCTGCCAGCAGCACCAAAGGGGTCTCGCACAGAGGCAACTGCCACCTATCGACAAAAGATGCGTACAATGCCAATGTTTGAAAACTGCAAAAAATGGCACCAGGCTGCCACCTGCTGCTGTGCAGAATTACTTCAACAAACACATTTGTGAGGCCACACCATCATTCCTCGACGAGCTGGCTCCAACAAAAGCGTGCCCATTGTGCAGCAGCGTGCTTTCCTCTAGGCATCCAAAAAGCGTTGCTCAGGATGATAGAAAGGGAAGTTCTGTCTGCTTGAAAACAGGCCACTTATAGGAACCTAAAAAGCTGTCTGGAGGGGATCTAGCATTCTGAAGTCTCAGCGTTGCTGGCTGAGGTATTTGATGGTTAATGTTCCTGCTTCCAGAAAGGGACCGTGAGCTGAAAACTCAGCTTCTGGTAAAAGAATCTGCCTGTCTCTTGCAGTCGGGCAGCATAATACTGGCCAGATCTCAAAACTCTGAACAACGAAAACATGAAGAAATTAAAACACGGTGTCCCGTAATTTTGGCAGCACAGGGTGATTTTTGGGTGCTGGCCTTCCCCCCGTGAGGGCCTTCATCTGATGTGAGAGGTGGAAGTTTTAGCGCCGGCCACAGAGGAAATCTCATTGCAAAGCCCAACAGCTTTCCACAGGTTACTGTGACTAAACCATCCCTCCCCGTCACAGTGGATAGCCCACATTGCTAAGCATAAAATAGTAAATAACACAGAGTGGGTAGAACTTGTATGAGGGATGACGGTTTGCTTTTCTTTTTTTTTTTTTTTTTGTTGTTGTTTTTTTTTGGGTTTGGAGTTTTTAACCCTTCTTTGTCCCGTCCCCCCGCGCCCCGCTACAGGGCGCAGCGCAACCGCTGGTCACGCGGGGCGCGGCTCAACCGCCACCGTGTGGGCGGTGCCCGCGCATGCGCCGCGCGCTACCCAGCCGCTGTGTGGGGCCGCGTCCGGCTCCTGGAGATGGGGGCCCGGCCCCGGGGTTTGGTGAGGGGAGAGAAGGGGGTGTGTGTCTGTGTGTTATTAATTACCGTAATTAGGATCGCATCGGTTCTTTCTTATAGGTGGTGCTCATAGTCGGTGTGTTGTTCCTGTTCTATGGCTGTACTGTCAGCTCGCCGCGAATGGTAGAGGCTGAACGTTTTCTAAGTAGCGCGTATTAAAGTCAAACAAATATTTTAAGGGTAATTGAGCGTCTGTACCGCCTGAACTCAGCTTGTAAGGGCTGCTGAGCCCTTAAATGCACAATGCGTGAATATCACAGTCATTTTCATGGGGACAGCGTGTAACTGGAATATCCTGCAAGTAATATAAATATTTTTTCCTCTGGCTTGGAGATGGTATTTGTCTGATCTCAGTATTAATTCAGGCCTTTGCTGCTTTATATTTTTCCGGTTGGTCTTGACTATGATCCTACAAAGCACTCAGAATGGACTTAGTTTGAAAAACAAATAGGTCTAGTGCATATATGAGTTTGCTGCTTGAAAAAATGTGACCTTATATCTGCAAATGCTGTGCTCCTATTGTGTGTGCTTCAGTTTAGCAAGGAAAAGAATAATTTAACTAGGAAACGTTTTTGATATATAATTCACCTGTTACTGTCCCTCAAAACAAATAATTTTTCTCCAAATTTTGCTGTTGTCACTGGGCTTAAAAGTTGAGGTTGTTTGTAACTCTTTTGAGTTACAAAGCGTAGTTTTATCGTATTTGTAAGCCTGCAAAGGAGAGGAGAGAATTGATATGTAAAGGTTTGAGCTGCATTGAAGTATAAATGTTTGTTATGAAACACATAGTTCTCGCTACAATAATTTACCATTGTTTCCAGTGCAAGGATGAGACAGTTATGTCCGTTTAGTACCAGAATGACGAGCTCAAGAGTGGGGGTGTTACGGTGCCTGATAACAACATGAACATTTAATTCAAATCTGCAACTTAAGAACAAAACTACAGATCTAGCCTTATCCTTTCCTATCACTTCTGTGTTACTGAAGCCAACGTTGGATTGCTCTTGCCTCTGGTTACCTTGTCTGGTGAGTATGAAACCTGATGAATTTTACTTATTTGTATAACGGTTGCATGCGGTTAGAATTTCTGTAGCCAACATTATGTCAGGCTCTTAAATGTAGTTTTATATTAGTTTTGAAATATATGAAATCACCTAAGAAGAGACTCTCCAGCGTGTTTCGAAACTGTAATGTAATTTACTGCAGGAATAATAGTGTAAAAAAATCACTCTTTCATTTCAAAATTGTATATATTTAGATCTTGTTTAGGTCCAGTTTTTATTTTTATTTATTTTTATGATTGTTTATGTTAGCATATGATGTAGAAAATCTTGGAAGACTTTCATATTCTGTAGAGTTTATTAATATTATAGAGACGTAGGCAGTCAGTTTTTATCAGTGTGCAGCAGTATTTGACTTTAACATAATATGAATTTATACTTGTAACTCAAAAGGGGAATTACTGTTTCTCCAAAAGAAATCAATCATGGCTGACGACTCTCAGAGAAACTTTCGCTCTGTGTATTATGAAAAAGTGGGATTTCGTGGAGTTGAAGAGAAGAAGTCACTGGAAATTTTGTTAAAAGATGACCGATTGGGCAAGTCAATTTCATTCTTTCCTCTGTTCATTTGGTGATTTAGCATCAGGTAGGGGAGGGTATAATGGATGCTTTGTAACAGCTGCGCTTAATACTCACTAAAGTTTTTCATCCTTTACCTTTAATCTCTCAGTTTGTACTAGCAGTCCTTTGAGTTTCAAGGAGTTGAGGATATAAATTGTAAAAACTATTAAGGATCTGTGCTTGCATGTTTTTTTCTCTCATTCTCTATGCTTAAGTGAAAACAATTAGTGAAAACGATTTTATCTGAAAATACATATCATGCTGTATACATAAATGCGTATTATGCTGTTAGTTCCGTCTAACCTCAAAATGATGATTTTATTATTGCTGTTGGTCTTTGAGGAATGCCTGTAATGGAATAAAAAGATAAAAGTTGTCCCTTTAACAGAGCGCTTAATTGCTTTGACTTAACAACATCGCAACAAAATGCCTATAAAAATGGTAGTTTCTTCCTAGTGAAAGCTGGGGCAGCTATAGTTTTGTTGTAAATCAAGCTAATGTACATTATTTTCCAGAATAAATACTGTTAGTTTATATAGCGCATTCTATTCCCAACTGAAGTGGTGAAAGCATTTGTAAGTAACGAATCATGAAAGTGGAGATTTCTATCTGCTTGTCATACTTAGGTAATTCATAGACTGGGAACTATTGATATATTAAACTTTAATGTTTTTCTTCATTTTTTTTTTTTATTTCTCTACAGATATTGAGAAGCTTTGCACGTTTAGTCAAAGGTTCCCTCTCCCATCCATGTATCGTATACTGGTGTGGAAGGTTCTTTTAGGTATGAAACATAGCATCTGTTATTCTCCGAAGAAATGAGCACGTAGAATGTGCTCTCTCTCTCAGAATAATCCATGTCATAAGTGCTGTACTCTCGTTTACTGACATATTTAGTCTATTTTTACATCTACTGTGGATGCACAATAGCAGTTATAAAGCTTAACATCACATGCATACTTCCTGAGAACTTTTGCAGAAGTGTACAGAGAAGAGTGTATTTTAGGCTTAACGTTATCCAAGTAAGTCTATTGGAATGGATTTAAAAGGTGGTTTTTAAGGCACTGATACTTGATAAGGTTTTCAGTTCTGTTCCTAAAATAAAACACAACTGAGTTGAAGTAAAGTGGTGATTAAACTTGAAAAGCTAGGCAAGCTATGGAAATGGATGTTTATTTTTAAGAGAAGCTTTGTGTTCTTGGTTTGAAGATTTCTTCTGGTTTTGGTTCTGTATTTGAATGGTATTTGCCAGTGAAGAAGTTATGAGGCCAGAGAGAAAGTATGGCATCCCCAGAAACAATAATAAAAAATAAATAATAAAAGAAAAATTCAATTTTCTTTGGAGGGTATCTGTCAGATGACCAATTGAAAAGTATTAATGACTTTGCAGTAGGTGGTCAAGTGTGTCAGATTTATTGGATATGAAGTGATACTGCTTGGGGACAGGAGGGGTTGTGGAGGCCCTGGGTGTTCTGACCTGTACCAGGTATCTGGAGAGGTTCCCATAGAGTTACCAAGTGTAAAGAAACACTGTTGTACTGGTTGTGGAGTTAGGTTGTGCGACTGAATCTCTGAAAGAGAAATGTGACCTATTGCACTCTTGGTGGCTGAGCATGCCACTGCTGAAAAGCTTGAGGGTGACTCCTATGCTAAGTGTTGTATCATTACAGCTGTGGTCACACCTGAGATGCTGCTTCATCAGGGAGACACCTGCAGTGTTTGTCTGCAGGTTGGCTGCAAGCTGCTGTCTTCTGCCCTCTGCAGCCATCCTGCTTTTCCGTTGGCTGTCTTGAGTATGCGATACAGTTCCCATAAACATCTCCTGTCTGGGGATTTTGGCATGTGATTCATAGATTGATGGCTCTTGCTTCAGATTGAGTAGTTGGAAAAAACAACAACAACAAAAACAACACTAATTTTTTATCCATTTCAGGATGCGTGTTTATTTTAGGTTCTGCCATAATCTTGAAAGTTCAAATAAATGTATTCTCTTTCTCTTTTTTTGTTTTCCATGTGCACTACACATGGAGTTTGAAATAATGTATTAGGAAGTTTTATTTGAATTATAAACAGTCTTTTAAAATATTTATTTTCTTTTATTTTCCCCTTCATTTTCCTACAACTTAAAAATTGTGCCTTCAAAATAATGATTATTTGGATTTGTAAGCCTTTTTTTTTTTTGCGGGAGGTGGTAAATGAAGAGTGTGTGGAAAGTGTAAGATCTAAAGTATAGAAGTTGAAGTTCTTATACATTTGATGAAATTCTGTATTGATTACAGAACTACCTGATAAAAATCTCTGCAGTTAGAGCACTAATTTTAGGATGAAAAGAAATCTTGTAACCCTAGGCCTAAGTGAAGCAGTCAGCATCCTTTAAAGAATTTGTAAAAGGAAATACAGCACAGGTGGTTTGAACAGGTAACTTAGTACAAGATCCTTCAGCCAAAATTGTAATAGCAAAATACAGTCTCTTGGCAAATTTGCAACTCACTGCAGAGCCACTGGTATATCTTTGACTGTTTTAGATAGGATGATTTATGAATCCATGTGATTATATAAACTGCAATGATTTTTAGGCTAGTTCCATCTGAGTTAATTGTATGGAAAATTACCTCAATATCTGTGTACACAGGAGGAAGATTTTCAAAGCCTTTTTAATTTATTTATTTATATATATATATATATATATATTCTGTATTTTAAAAGCTTTTAAAATAATTTATTTCAAGTACACAACCTGTAATTTTGTGTAATCCCTGGGTGACCAGAGTACAAGGAATTCTCTTATGCTGCATCATAGTGTTAACACTGATTTGAAGAGCTGGCTTTCTAAATGGCAATACAGAAGCTCTTTCCCTAAATTACTGGAACAACAGCCCAGTCCATTTCTGGTGGGAGGTATTAAATCTCTAAATAATGTTAATACTTTAACAGAAGGGATTCTGTCCTCTCAGCAGAATCATTTCAGACACCTGCCAAGCCTTGGTGCTGTCCCAGGTTACATGGTATGTCAGCGATGTCTCTTAACTTCCTGTTCAAGTATGACTCGTGATGGTGTTGAGGCTAAAATGGTTTTTAGACATCCCTGTGTTAAGATTCTTTTCTGTCAGCTCAAGGCAGTCTTCTCTATTTAAGCAAAGCAGTTGGCAGTGTGTGCATACATAGTTGTTGACTCTGTTTTTGCATCACATGAAAAACGTTCTGATCCGTCCCGGCTTCTGCAGTGCAGGTGGATTTGCAGTTGGGAAATAAGTTGTTACTGTCTGTTGTGCTTGATACTAAAACTCAGCCATTTCATGGTTTAACACTTGACAACAATATTTTTATTTTAAATGAGAGATGAAAGGAGCAGGTAGCCTGTTTAAGGACTGAGTTTTGAAGAATATTTTGTTCTCGTGGGTTTTTACACTAGGAGTTCTGCTCCACTGGTGGTATGCAAGAGGCATTTATTTGCTTTGGTGTTTCTGTTGAAGCCAGTGACAGTTCTGTTTTGAACATCAACGCACAGTAAGGTTGAGCCTTGAGTTAGGGGAAGGATAGAGTGAAATGTTGAGCATTGCTTCTGGATATCATAAACAACTCTTTTTTTTTCTGCCTCTCTATTTGGATACATTTTAATTTATTTTTTTTTCCTCCTAGGGAACTAGAAAAATGTACTATACTGAGAAAGTTAAACTTGCATTGAAATTTGGGTGTTAACTCTTAATCTTTAATATGCAACTGTGGGATTGATTTTGCTTCTGAATGTTCTTTTAGAGAGGATTAATCTCTATGGTACAGCGCACTAAGAAGTTTCCGGCGGAGTTCTACCAGTAAACTTTATAATGAGATTGGGATGTACAGTATGTTTGCATTAGTTAATTGCATTTATATGTTTTCTGGTCATCTCAGATGAAGCGTATAATTTCAGAACAAAAACAGCTAGCATATGTAAATATCATTCTGTATTTGTTCTGTTTTCAAAATAAAATGAAGCTACACACAAATATGCAATTAATACTGTATTAAAGCTTACAGATAGGTATAAACAAGTAACAAGTCAGATTCACAATTGAAAAATAAGGCTAGCTTGGTGAAGAAGGAGAGTACACCAATAAAGTTATTTTTCATTTGTCCCAGTAGTGACATTTCTTACCAGCGCATTAATGTAATATAAAAAGGAATTAGCATTCATTTGTTGAAAATTTCGTAGAAGAGCTTCATAAACAATTCTCAACAGTTGATGAGAAACAATAGTACAAGTTTAGATTTTGTCTATGCTTGATTAATACATAGTTTATTTTTGTAAATCTAATGCTAGAGTGCTTTCTTAGCTTTTCTTCTTGGAGGATTTTCTCCCTGTATTTGAACAAGATCATAGAAAAATTGCACTGCCAGGTCTTACATTTTTGTTGGCAGATCTCTTGGAAGGGGAGTTTAGAGTGCTCCGTTTTTTTCTCTTTACAGTTGCCTTTTTTTTTCTTCTGCTTTTTAGGAATTATTCCTCCTCACCATAAATCTCATGCCTTGGTGATGAACTACCGGAAGGAGCAGTACTGGGATGTACACCATGCCCTTCGTGTAATTCGTTTTATCAATGATTCTACCCCACAGGTAGATGTTTTCCTCCGCATACATCAACTGGAATCAGGAAAATTGCCTCGAAACTTGGCGTTTCCTTTGGTGAGCTGTTGTTTTGATAGTCTTTTAAGCATACTGGCTAACTTTATGCTATATATTTATACTTTATACTATATATTATTTTTCTTAGCATGTAGCTAACTTACACTATAAGCCTGTGAGAAACTGAGCTGCATGTAGCAAAAGTACATGTAGATAAATTTATGCAAGGGGAAAGAAAGACAGAGAAATGCTGTTATAAAATAAGGTATTTTAGTAGAAGTGCTTTTCTTTTTTTGTTCCCTTAAATACTTATTAATACATACAACTTTAAGTGTCTTTTATATACTTCCGTTACTAGGCTTTTAGCCTTTTTTTATTCTAGTTTTCACTTTAGTTTCTTCATAGCAATGAAGTCAAAATGACTTGGTACTGGATTTTCTAGATTGTTCACTTTCCTACAATGAGGATAATTCACAGCCAGTACAAGCGCTGATATGTAGCAAATTACATCATGTTTCTAAATAACTTGTTTTAATATTTGTAATTGAAATGAATTGTAATCTGCTCCAAAGCTTATGATACTACAGCTTACTGCTACTGATGGTTACGTGAGGACAGACCGTGGATTTGCATCTGTCTTGTTACCCCAAGTCCTAATATAGTCAGTACTGCCTGCTGAAGGAAAACTTTAAGAAACACAGGGCAAATATAGTGCCTCTCCTGATGCATCTTCCCAGTTGAGAGGCTTCCAGAGCTAGTTGTTGCTGGCTGGTTTAGACTTAACTTACCTCTATTACTATACCAGTAATTGTGTTTTAGGTGTGCTGGTACCTTTTGGTGGGAAAGTGTAACCTCTGGAGAAGGGAAGATAGTATGCCCACCACATGCTCTAGTTTTGTATTGTGGGGAATAATCACCTGGAAAAGGTATTTATTTCTAGCTATTGTGTAGCTAACACCCATGGCAAAGGTGTTTGAGGGGCCTGTTTCGCAAGGAAAATATCTGCTGCTATGTAGTAAAAAACTTAATGTGGGGCATAGAAGTAGGAATGTTGCTCTACGCCAGTAGGAGGTAATCTCATTTAAGAATATTTGAGAACTTTGGATCAGATTTTTTCCAAATTCCTGTTGTCTGCTTGGTTTTAAAAGCAAGACAAGTCTTATTTGTTTTGCTTTAAAAGGTATCTGGTCACCATAATGCAGCTGTTGCCCAGTGCTTTATTTATGAATGAATATTTATTTATGTTTATTATAAACAGGTAGTATTTATCTTTATATGCTTTGGTTCCACTTTGGTTTTGCAAAGAGTAGGCAAAAGGAATGTAAGAATAACTTAAATCAGGCAGTCTAATACTTCTTTGTAGTTATTTTTTGTGTTTTTTTTGGGGGCTTTGTTTTCCAGGAGCCAGAAGATGAAGTGTTTCTTGCTATTGCTAAAGCAATGGAGGAAATGGTGGAGGATCCTATAGAATGCTATTGGCTTGTCAGTAGCTTTGTTAATCAGCTGAACAGCAAGCATAAAGATGCATTGCAACAACTGGTAAGGGAAAGATTTTTTTTTTTTTTTTTGTGAGGAAAGCAGTAAGTAGGGGAGAGTAAGGGAGAAGGAAGTCATAGAAAGCATGCATGCTGGGTGTTTTGGAAGTTGCAATGCATGGAGGTAACCACAATGTCAGAGGCTGCATCCATGGATTATATTCTGGCAGGAGTAGTGCTTTTTGCATTGTGATGGTATTCTGCTGTAGGAAACTTTGTCCAAAATAGCAAACAAAACCAATTTTTTAATGTTGCATTGTAGGTTTTGACTTTTTTTTTTTTTTAAAGTTAGCTGAAGCTTACATTGTATTTAGGTGAATTATGTTTCATACAGTTAAGGATTCTCTTTATTCAAAACCATTAAAGATATAACAAACTTAAGGACATCTTGACTTAGGTCTTCTGCTTTTTTGGCTGCATCCCTGGCATTCATATGCTGTTCACTGGATGACAGTGAGGCAATGCACAATTGTTTTGCTTTATAAATGGAGCAGAGTATTTTGTGTCTTCAGAAAGACAGCATGTTACAAACTAAGTTTCAATTAGAAGTGTAACAGGACTTTGTCACTGATCATTCAAATGCTCTCAGAGAATGTTCATTTTGAATTTCTGTATTACTGCTTTATAAAAGTGATTATAAAGCAAATGCATACTTATAAAAAAAAATCCTTTGTTATACAAAAGCTTTTGTAATTCTTCAAATAGTCGTAAAAGATAAACATTTTAGTTAATATCCACTGATATAAAAATATGAGCATCTGCTCTGGCAATCAGTGAAAACCTGTTGCAGAAGATGATGTATGTCCTTTGTTATTCTTGGAACACAAAAGTACATTTTAAGTCTTTTCTGCTTCTACCAGAGGTGATACCAACTATACCAATTTCTGTATTTTCTTTAAAAGGACAGAGGAGTGTTTTTAAAGAAGGTATGTGCCTCAGTTACATAGGGATGTCTCCCTAAGTTTTTATTTTAATGTACACATTGCACCAAGACTGGATGTTATAATGTGGATGAAGGAAGTGTTGTTTTTTTTAATTTGAAAGCTGAAGTTATTAGCTGCTTATCTAATTATAAGAAAAGTATAAAGACAATGAAATTTATGAAAATGTGTACTGTTACATTAGACTTTAAGCAAAATGAACATTATTCACATTTTTAAGCCTATTTGTATGATCTTCTGTTGCCTTTTCTAAATACTTCATTTTCTTAAACAAGAAATCAATATCCAGCTTTTATTATATTGCACAGGGATTTGCTCTGAGAATTGTTTTTCTTGTTTTCACTGCACTGTGTATAGGTTTTTATGATGCGTGCTAAGATTATTACCTTTGAGGTGAATGAAACTCAATTTTACTTGTGAAGATAGCAGTGATTGTTGCAGGTTTAATCTCTGCATTACATTAAGGTCTCGAACACCTCATTGCATTAGTGAATAGTGCGTATTTTGGAAATACTGCTAGTGATCAGCAATTTAAAGAACCTGGGGCTATTTATTTACTGAAGTACTAAATTGCAAAAATCAGTGATACTTTTATTTTGGAACACCAAGATTTAGTTAAAATAATGTAAGTTCAGTATTTTAACGTGTGTTTTTATGCTTGCAGGTCTTCAAAGACACATCTTGCTTTACAGTGTGCTGTAATAATGGAGGAGAGGATGCTCTGATGTTACTTATCCTAAAATTTTCCGATTCCTTTTTCAGCCAAAAATTCTGGAGCAGTATTTGAACATTGAAGATAACAAACTCCTGATGCACCTAAAAACATGTGCTGCAATGAGCAAACTCCCCTATGATCTTTGGTTCAAAAAGTGTTTTGCAGGCTGTTTACCTGAGTCCAGTTTACAGAGGCAAGCTCTTTTTTTTTCCCCTTTCTGTTTGTAATTGCATAGTAATTTTAGCTCCTTGTTACCATAAGCAGGCAATGAGCTTTCTGTATCTTTATCTGTAATGAAGGTTATGAAGTTAGCTTTATTGCTGACTTGGAAATGACAAAATTTGATTTGATCCCACTTGTTACTGATGTGAGGTAATCTGAGCGTGATCACTTCTGGTATTGACATGTAAAAGGATGGAGTTAAATATGGTGGCTTATTCTGTTTCACACTTTTTGTCTCCTAGGATTTAAAACTCCAAATCCCCTCTTAGTGATAGGCGGCTGAAAGGAGTTAGTTTTCAGTTTTTTAAACCAAAATGACTCCTTAGGGAGTGATTATAATACTGTATTACCACCAGATGAAAAAGATTTTGGGAGTGTTGGTTTTAATTAAAAAAGTAAATACTATGGCAGGTTAATCATTACAGAGTTCTTAAAATAGTGCAGCTATTGGAAATAGGCTGTCCAGCTTTGAAAAGGGGGAAGTTCTTGTGCATGGTAATTTTCCAAAGGGCCTTTGAACTGAAGCTTCTGTGATTTCTCTAATTCTGCCATCTGAAAACTCATGGAAAGTGGAAAATTCAAGTTAAATGGAAAGAGGAATAAAGTTTCCGCATTAACATAGATGCTGCTAATAGCTGAGCTAGAAGTGGTACAGAGAAAACAATGGTCTCATTTTCTGCTGCCTTTTAAAACTTTGAGAAGAAACAAAGTGCAGGGGAAATCTTACTCCAGAACCTCCGGGACTTCAGTGGCTGCTATAAAAACGCTGTCCTGGTTTCAGCTGAGATAGAGTTAATTTTCCTCCTAGTAGCTGTTAGGGCAGTATGTTTTAGGATAAGAATAGTGTTGATAACACACAGATGTTTTAATTGTTGCAGAACAGTGCTTACACTAAGGGAAGGACTTTTCATCTTCTCACTCTGTCCTGCCAGTGGGCAGGCTGGGGGTGCAGCAGGAGCTGGGAGGGGACAGACCCAGGACAGCTGACCTGAACTGGCCAAAGTGGTATTCCGTACTGTATGGGGTCATGCTAAACAATATATAGGGGTGGCTAGCCAGGGTGGAGGGGTTAGGCTGGGTCAGCAGGTGGTGAGCAATTGCATTGTACGTTACTTGTTTTGTACACATTATTAGTAGTAGTACTATTATCATTATCATCATTTTTTTCCCCGTCTTTAATAAACTGTCTCTATCTCATCCCACAGGCCTCATTTTCCTGTTTCTATCCCCCATCCCAGAGAGGGAGGGGGGAGGGTGAGTGAGTGGCTTTGTGGTGCTTAACTGCTGGCCGGGTTAAACCACAACAAACACTAAAATTGAGAGTTTTGTTGAATGCTATATAGAAAAGATACTTTGCTTTATCATGGTAGAGTTGTTTGCAGTCTGAATAGTGAGTGCAGTCTTTCTTGCTTATCTGGGTTCTTACATTTTACGAAGGCAAGTGTGGAACAGCTGTTTTTTTTAAATATTCCCCCCCCCCCCCCCCCCCCCCCCCCCCCCCCAAGAAAATATGAGGGTTTTAGGGAACAAGCTATAAGATTAATATTTATGCTTTTCAGTCTTGTGGTGCAGTGGTCTTTTGAGGTTGTGTACGTTCTACTGTTGGCAAGAAAGGTGTCTGACAGAAAGCAATTCTTGGAACAAGAACTGAAAGAGTTGGTGGCAGACTTTTTGGTGTTATCCTTTGTGCTGCATGGCCATCGTTACATATGTAGTTCTTCTTACCAACACCTGTAAGGCTCTGAAGTAGTCCATGCTGTATAGAGGTTGTGTGTGATGTGAAGGTTAAAAGCTTTTACTACTGTTGGGGCCGCAGAAATTAAGTAAGCATGTATAAAATGTTTGTTACATCTTTATAGACAATTGAATATGTGTGATTTGTCTGTATCTTTGTTCCACATTTGTATTTATAGGCTCATTTTTAGCAGGTAACAATTGACCTGGTTTCGTCCAGTTTTCTCTGTATGAAACTTAATACAGTTTGTCACATAGATGTGACTGTTCTGCCTGGGACTTGCCAGTCTCCTCAGAACTTCATTTCTGTAGGCTGCTGGGATACAAAATGACCTCCGCAAGCATTAGGAACCACTTTCCATGTCTTCTAGTAGATGTTTTAATTTACAGCTTAAAGGATTTAATATTGAGGCTGTCTTCTGGCTAAGAAATCTGCAATAGAACAGCTTTGCTGTTGAGGATTCCATTCTTTTGACATTCCTGTTGAAAACTGCATATTTTGTGGAGCTGTCTCATCTAGACAGTGTAAAAGAAAAAAAATAATCTAGATGAAGGACATCGATTTTTCCTATTTTATATTGCCAGAATTTTCTGTTTCAGCTTCTGTAATTTTGAATCGGTTCATTTACATAAAATGTTTTATCTAGTTAGTGTACTGTTTAGCATTCTCATATTCTATTTTAATTTACTGGTGTAAAATAATTTGACCTGAAAATATTTGAATAACTTTTTTTCTTTGTGGTAAATATCCAAATATTGTCTTCTTTATATCACTCTGCATTAAAAAACTTAGGAGGGTTGGAACTTCTGATGGTGCAGCAATCCTATTTACCAACAATTCTTGTGTGAACATGATAGAAGTGCGCTTTTCCTTGACAGTTTAGGTTTCTGAATTACTCAGTTGTAATGAAAATAGCCTCATTTGCTAAGGAAATAAAATACTTTGTGGGCAGCATGTGACAGATGAGCTTAGTTAATGCTTGGAGATTCAGTTTGGATTAGAATCTAGAAGCCCGAATGCTTATCTGAAATGTATCTAAATGGCAGCATTGGAACTGCTGAGAACTGAAAACAGGTCTCCAATTCTCCTGTGAGTTTCACTTACTTTTTCCTCATGTGAGAGATGACATGAGCGCAGTATTTTTATGATTTAATTTATCTTATGATTTAGTACTACATTTCTTAAGAGAGGTTGCTTGCTTTGTCAAAATTGTAGCCTTCTCTGCCAGGCAGCTAAATTTAAATTTCATCATTTTTTCAAAGGTGTACAAGGTTTGGATGTGCTATGCAGAAATTTTATCCAATAATGGTGAGATGAATTGTACGTAATACCAGCTGTATTCCTGACAAGTGTTGTCATTTCAGTATACATATTGTTTCATAATACACTTCTACTTTTATCATAGGTAAAAGTTGTGCATCAATTTCATTTACGTTGGTTTGGCAAACCAATGTAGAAAGCTTTTAGGTAGAAACTTTTCTTTCAAACTTATGCATTGTCTTTCCTCTGCTTGTGCTAAATGCTCTTAAAATGTAATAAGCTTCTTTCCAAACGTCTTTAAGGTGCCACATTGGTAAAAAGTAGAGCAGACTGGGCACTCTGAAGGCTCTGTATCCTCAGGGCTCTATTATTGCACTTGGAATTATAGACAGGCAGCTTCCTAGAACACGAACCTACCTGCCTATAGCATGGATTCCAGAGAGACAGAAAGGATTACTTCTCTCTGAAGTGGGAAGAAAACTGAGCTGCACCTTTGCTTATACTCACCATTGCTCTATTTGCTCACATTCTGCATCAGGGTATCTGGTCATCTGTTCAGCAAGCCCCATGTGTGGAGAGTTTTCAAATGGCGCTGTGTGGAGCCTCAGCTGGAGAGCCTTGCTGTTAAAGCAAGGTGTCAATTTTGCAGCTTCAGCTCTACAGGCCAAATTACACCTCAGCTGTCAGTTTGCTCTGATGTAACAGAAATAGTAGAGCTTTGCAGATATGGTTGTGTATAAGCCAGGCATTTTTTATTGCTTCGTGTTGCCTGTCATGTACCATACCCATAGCTGACGTTGTCAGTCCTCAGTGAAGACTTGGCGCAGTAATAGCTGGTGGGTTGGGATGGGTTTAGGTTAGTGGCCTCTGGTAATTTATTTGTGGCAAAGTATTCTGTAGTTCTCCTGAAATCCTACTGCCTTTCAGACTGGCACTAATGCAGGTATTAATGTACAGCTTGTGCAGTTTTGCAACTGTGATTTCTGTGTCCTGCATAAATTACATCAGTTGTAAAGAATATGAGTCATTTAGTAGAAACAACAGAAATATAAAAGATGCCTTAAATTTACTGTGGAAGGGATGTGGGCTGCTACAGTTTCTCTACTCTACAGAGAAACTTAAGTCACTTGTTTACCTATGTCTAAATAATTGAGCTGCTTCACAGCTGTCTCCATGACTGGTGCAAGATCAAAGTATGATGTCAGGATGAGACTTGTTTGTACCTCATTGTGTACTTCCACATCTGTTTCCATTGGAAGGATACCTAGATGTGCAGAGGAGCGAGTAGTGGTTCTCATTAAATGTCTATGGACCAGATGACTGCAGGACGAGAACCAGGGAATAAGGTTGAATGATCCTACCCGGCAGCCTGGGTGTAGCTTTTGCAGGGAGAGGGGAAGCTGTGAGGTTCGCAACAACTTTCTCAGAAAAAGAGAGCACAGCAACACTAGGATGCTTTTTGCTCTAGTACCCCGCTGTAGTGATTGAGGAACCTGAGAAACGCCCTTGAGAATGTTGTTTTTTCATGCACATACAAATCATGTCCTGGCTACAGAAAAAAAAACAACTCAGTGGAAATCAAGTGTCTTCCTCTGAGTAGTTCTTGCCATTCTCTTTACTTTCATAGCTTCCATTGTCTTTATATTTTTCCTTGTGGTTTTTACTACTATTTCACTGTTCAAGAAACACACACGAGTGCTCTCGTGGCTAATCAGTTACAATTATACATCACGGAGGATGGTATCATTACAGTTTTTTATGACTTTAGTGTGCACTTCCTTTTTCAGTGGTCCTGAGTAGGGCTACAAGCACAGTTGCATGGCATACGTTACAGTTTTCTCATCTCTGAGAGGATCAAAAAAACCTGCTAAAAGTTATAATCCCTGACAGTACACTTGATGCTTACATATACAAGTTTTTGGTGTTACTTAAGTAGTGAAAGTATAGGTGTTACCATCAGTAAAGATACAATGCGTAAAGGTTGCTATTTTAGGCTAAAATAATCAAAATAATTGTTTCCTTGAAACTGCCTTGTTTTTTTTCTAGTCGAAGTAAACATTTTTCTGACACAGTTTGTTGCAGTTTCTGGTTCTATGGTACTGACAAGGTACTGATTGCTGGTCTGTTTATCAGTGTCACGGTCAGTCCATTATTGCTGTTACTGGTGGAATTACGCTGACAGTACCAAGAGCTGGAAATGTTAAGGGGGAAAAAACAGCAGATACAGCTAGTTAGTGCTAACATCTCATCCACTTAGCAGTGTACCCTCTTCCTGTTAGAAGCTGGTGACTTAGATATTGCGTTTGGTTTGCCAGTGTTAAAATACTTGTTCTGGAATCAGACTAAACAATAGGAAAACATTTGAGTTTTTGAGCATGAAATGTAACCTACTGTAATGTAATTCTGGGGACTGGAGTCAGGGGACTTGGAAGCAAAATATGGAAGAAGGTTGAGTAGTGTATGTTAGAATTAGTAGGTTTATACAGAAACTAACACGGGGTTTAATAAAAACCTGAAAAATTCTTTACTGTCTTTGAGTCTGTATTGTCGTTTGTAGTTACAGTTCTGATGCCCATGAAACACCTGGGAAGCTATGCTTGGGTTCTGAACAGAAAGGTTTGAGAAGGTATATTAGAAGTAAATCGGAATCACTTGTACAATGTGGAAGAGGAATGCGTTCTCAGTTTTCTCATAGCCTTGCTTAAAGCTTCTAGACTTGACATCAACATCAGTTTAATACCTACAGTGACCACTTGTCCTGAGATGCTTGAACCACAAAGGAAGCAAAATTTTAATTGTTCCCATCCTTGTGGGTTTTGTAGTCATTTTTAATCCTATAAAGGCAGGGAAATAAAAGTAAATTGCGAAGGGGAGAGAAATTAGTTATGCCTTTTTCCCCCTATCTATCCATGTGGGTTTTTTGTTTCCTTCATTTTAAAGAATAGTTGTGGATATTTTTTTGTATTCTTTTCCAAGCCTATTTATTGTAAGTTAAATTCTGGTCTCTCTTTTTTTTTTTTTTTTTTTTTTTGAGGAATGGAGAGCTAAAAGTGGTGTCAAACCAGCTATATGGTTGGAAGGTTATCAAGCTGACAAAGATTTGACTTGAGTCACAGTTTAAAAAATTAATGCTATGTAACAGCAGCAGTCATTCCACTTTAGGAGTTAAAAAAAAGCCTTTGCTTAAAGGTGTGATACCAACTCTTTAACACAGCTGTCAATGTTTATGCCTTCATTGTGTTCTCTTGGCAGTCCAGGCTGAAGTGCAAGTTCTTCTGAGACAAAAGGTGATGTAAAAATGTTTGTGTTCTGAAGAAACACACCTGTAGATCCAAGTTTGTAGGTGGGCTGCAGAAGATGCTTACCAGTTATAGTTACTGAATTCAGAGATTATGGAGGATAGTATGTGATCATGTCCCTCATGTCAAAGGAGAAATGTTTATTAGAAAGGAGAAACATCTGACAGATGGTTTCACACTGATTTTGGATAATCTTTCATCCCATGTCTGTTGAGTTGGGCCAGAGATAGAGCTGCTGGCTGAAGGATGTGTTCAAATTGTTACAGGCTGTTCTAGTAATCCGGATTTCTTAATATTCTCAGTTCTGTTGCTAAAGAACTTGCATCCTTTGGAGGCCTCTTCTTCAGGTGTCTTTAAAACTGTGATGTTTGGGCACAGCTTCAAGGAAGTAGTAGGAGTGCTTTGTTAATTCTGAGAGAATCTGTGCACAGTGGAATGGATTGAAATACTTCATAGTTGTTCTTTGTGTATAATTTGAGTGTTATGGATATATCTTGCTGATGTATAATATTTATATCTCATACAGGAAGGACCTTGAATATTTAGCTGTTTGAGATGTAGTAGTTGAGTAGTTCAGAATTTCATCCTTTTGAATTTTCATCTACTTAACTATTTGAAGAGCGTTTTTATTAAGTGTGCTAGTAAACTGTTTTTTTCACTAGGAAAAATTCTCACCCTTACTATGCTATGTAGAATAACTGTCACAGTTAAGGCTATTAAAACAAGATTTACTTGAGCCTTGCAAACAGTTGCATTTCTAACCAAGAACATACACTATGTTTGCCATCACTCTACTCTGTACAGATTGAGGAGTTGTTAAAATGTCTTTTATTTACCCTGATGTGAATAATTAATGTATTTGCTGCTATTCAGAAAAATTATCTGGAAAAAGGTGATTGTAAAGAAAAAAAAACGAAAAAAAACACTGTTCTAGTAGATAAACAGGTAAGGACTACAGTAATGTGTAGTGATTGCTTTTTTCATCTTTTTTTTCTAGAGTTTGGGACAAAATTATTAGTGGGTCCTGCAAAATTCTTGTTTTTGTTGCTTTGGAGATATTGTTAACCTTTAAAATGAAAATAATAGCACTGACTACAGCAGAAAACATCACCCAATTTCTGGAAAATGTAAGTACTCTTCTGTGCTTCACAACTACCATCTATGGTTTATAAAAGTGTTTTGTATATCATAAACATACCATAAGGAGCTATTACATTATTTCCTGAGAGTAGTGCTGTAGTATCAAGGTGCAGGGAAGAATGAGAGGAATAGTTGTTTCTATTTTTCTAAGGTAAAGCTTTCATAGAATGAAACGATTTTTTGCTTTGTGTAATGTATTATCTATGTTTGTGCAGATTTGACAATATTCTTATGATACTGAAGAGTGTTTCTGTGAAAGTAAGTGCAGATGAAGTTAGGTTCATTTTTTCCAGAACCTCCATGTAGGGCTGGAATCTGGCACCCTTTGTATTCCTTTACTGTGTCCACCTGTAGGCTCAAAGCACATTGTTTGTTGATGTAAGGATGATAGGATCTTGAACTTGACCCTGAACTTTCCTTCTGTGGATGGTAGTGAGCATGACAGCAGGGTTGTAGGATCCTAATGTAAGCTGGGTTAGATGGATTAGATATGTTCGTGGTCATGGATGGCCAGTACGAGTAATGCCTAATGTCAGATGAGAGGTGTGAAGTGAGAGATGCCTGAGCAGACACCTTCTCTTGTTTTGTAAATAAAAGTTTTATATTTAAAATGTGGGAGTAACATGGTGCATGTAGGGCTGAGGGATGGCAGGATGGAGAGATTAGATTATAGTTTAGCTTTGTATAAAGAGATGAAACTTGAACTTGAGGTTTAAAATCTTTATTTGGAACAACAGTCCAAATAAAGTACATTGACAAGGCATCTTAACCCAATCTTTTGCAGATTCCTCAAGATAACACTGATGCTATTGTCAGCAAAGCAGTGGATCTGTGGCATACACACTGTGGGACTCCAGCACACTCAGTCTGAGAACTTTCTTTGTTTATGGAAGTTTGGGGAAACAGAAAGGACACTTGAAAAGTTTCCTTTTAGTGTGATTCCCTTATCATGGTGTAAAGTTCTTAATTTCTTCTTCTGTGTAAAGATGCTATTAAAGCAGTTTATGGCATAATGATCAATGTGTAAATATTTTTCAATAAATATAGATGGAGCGAGGATACCTAGTGCGATGTGATCATGTCCAGAGTGGTTCTTGGCCTGCCAGCTACAATATTCTGATTGCACAGTGTGTTCTAAGGCTTTTGGGGATGTAAATCTAACTCCTGAAACAAGGTAAATAAACTGGCTTGTAAAAAAAAAAAAAAAAAAGTATGCCAGCTTATACTTGATATCGCTAGTTACTACTTGGAGGTGCTTTTAACGTGAATGTCTGCTAGTGTGCTGAAACTTTTTGATGAACAAAAATCATTCCTTTGCTGGAATGGAAATGTGCATGTACTCTGTGAATACTCTAAATGTGCAGGTAAGTGTTCTGGAAGAGGCATCACGAATTTGAAGTAGACATCGCAACAACCAGGTGAGACATGCTGTTCTGAAGTATCTCAAAATACTTCCATTATGTCAGCCAACTCTGTGTGGCTTATGGCTGCACCTTGTTTTTTGTCTTTCTTTAAGTAAGATGATCTAGAAAGGTGTATAAATTCCACTATGGTTTGGAAAAATTAAATGCAAACAATATTCTGCAAAGAGGGATGTCCTGAATCAAGATTAGAAGTGTCAGTCAGTGTTACTGCTTTCAGACTTGTCAGCGAGTGTTCTGCCGATCACTATCTGAAGGCTTCAAACTATCTGAAGGCTCTTTTGTTTCATTTTTAATTTATAAATGCTTTCTCTGTCAATAGGTAGACCATAGAGCTGCTCTGGCAGGAGAGACAAAGATTGTGGTTGAAGTTGGAAGGGACCTCTGGAGGTAATCTAGACCAATACCCCTGATCAAGCAGGGCCATCTAGAACCAGTTGCTGAGGACTCATGTCCAGGCAGCTTTTCAGTATTGCCACCCAGACCCAACCCACAGGGAAGTCTGTTGCCTCCCTGGGGCTTGGGTGAGAGACATTGCTAGGAAAGTCACTCACTTAGGATGGCCCACCGACTACTACCCTGCTACTGGTTTTTCAGGCTCGTAATGATGAAGTAGCAAAAAGTCCGAGAGTGATCAAAAGGGACTTGAGGGCTTTGGGGCAACTAGTTAAAGGTCCAGGGGCACAGGTTGTGTTTGCCTCTGCAGTTCCGATAGGGGGGATCGATGCTGACAAGCAGACTTGTCATAATACATGGCTTTGGGACTGGTGCAACCGGCAGAACTTCAGGTTTGTTGATCATGGGAAGGTCTACATGACACTGGGCCTGCTGGCACCGAGTGTGGTGAGCCTCTCAGAGAGGGAGAAGGGTTTTTGCTCAGGAGTTAGCGGGGCTGGTAGATAGGGCTTTAAACTAGAATCGAAGTGGGAAAGGGATAAGACCAGGCCTGCTAAGGGATGGTGTGCAAGAATCAGAGGGTCTGTATGCTAGTGAGTTCCTTTGCTCTGCTGCATAAGGTGCTGCATGCAGTGAGGCACATTTGAAGTACTTCTACACAAATGCATGCAGTATGAGGAATAAAATGGATGAGCTAAAAGTCATGGCCCAGTCCCCCATCTACATCACTGGCATAAGTGAAACCTGATGGGATGAGTCCTGTGGCTGGTGTGCTGCAATAGATGGTTACAAGCTCTTCAGGAGGGACAGGCAGGGTAGGCGGGGTGGTGATGTACGTGAAGCATGGGCTGGACTGTGTGGAACTTCAAGTTGGGGATGGCAAAGTTGAGAGCCTCTGGGTAAGGATTAAGGGATGAACAAATAAAGGGGATGTCATTGTGGGAATCCATTACAGACCACCTGGCAAGGATGACAACGCTGATGAATTATTCTTTATGGAACTTAAAGATGCCTCGAGATCTCCCCTTGTCCTTAAGGGGGACTCCAACTTGTCAGATGTCAACTGGGATTACCACGTGGCCGACATGAGCAAGTCCAGGAGGTTCCTAAAGCACCTAGATGATAACTTCTTGGTGCAGGTGCTAAGGAAGACGACTAGGAAAGGTGCCCTTGATCTGTTGCTGGAAAACGGAGAGGGTCTTGTGGGGGATGTGGCAATTGGTGGCCGTCTCGGTCATAATGACCGTGAAGTGGTTGAGTTTAAAATTTTTGTTGACAGAAGGAAAACTGCCACCAAAACTTCAGCCCTGAATATGACAAAAGCAGACTTCAGGCTGCTCAGGGAACTAGTCAGCAAGGTCCCCTGGGAAACTGCTTTTGAAGGTATTGGTGTCCATCAATGGTCAATCTCTAAGCACTGCCTCCTAAAAGCACAGGATCAGGCAATTCCAAAATATCAGAAGTCAAGCAGGCAGGGCAGAAGGCCATCCTGGCTCACCAGGGATCTTCTGGAGCTTAGGCAGAAAAAGATGTATGGCTGCTGGAAGCAGGGTCAGGCAATGAGGAAGGAATACAGGGGCATTGTTTACATTCATAGGGAGAAAATTCATGTGGCCAAATCACAATTAAATCACAATTAAGAGTTGAAGCTGGCCAGGTCTGTGGGAGACAATAAAAAGTTTTTTTAGATATGTGAACAGAAAAAGGAGGACCAAAGAAAACATAGGTCTGCTACTTGCTGGGGAAGGTCTCCTCACAGACAATGACATAGGCAAGGCAGAGATGTTTAATGCATTCTTCACCTCTATCTTCAACGTTGATGATGGGCTTCAGGACCCAGCGTAACCTGAGTGGAAGGACAATGATGGTGGGAGTGACAGACTCCCAACTGACCCTGTACGTGTGCGGGATTTGCTGCTCCACCTGGATCCATACAAGTCCATGGGTCCGGATGGGATCCATCCCAGGGTGCTCGGAGACCGGGCTGAAGTCATTGTGGGACTTCTCTCAATTATTTTTCAATGATCTTAGGAATCTGGAGAGGTGCCAGTAGACTGGAAGTTGGCAAATGTTGTGCCAATTTTCAAGAAGGGTAAGAAGACCCTGTCAATTACAGGCCTGTCAGTCTCACGTCAGTGCCTGGTAAAATTATGGAGAAGGTGATTCTTGAAGTGATTGAAGCGCATCTGGGCGACAATGCAGTCATTGGTCCCAGCCAACATGGGTTCACGAGGGGTAGGTCCTACCTAACACATTTGATTTCCTTTTATGATAAGATCACCCATCTAGTTGATCAGGGGAAACCAGCTGATGCGATCTTTTTGGATTTTAGTAAAGCTTTTGACAGTTTCTCATGGGATCCTACTGGACAAAATGTCCAGCATACAACTTAACAAAAACATCATATGATGGGTGAGCAATTGGCTGACGGGCAGGGTTCAAAGGGTTGTGGTTAATGGGGCTACATCTGGCTGGCGGATGGTCACCAGTGTGGTCCCCCAGGGCTCCTTTTTAGGGCCAGTCCTCTTCAATGTTTTTATAAACAACTTGGATGTAGGACTAGAAGGTGTTTTGAGCAAATTTGCTGATGACACTAAACTTGGAGGAGTTGTGGACTCTGATGAGGGTGGAAAGGCCTTGCAGAGAGACCTGGACAGATTGGAGAGCTGGGCGATCACCAACCACATGAAGTTTAACAAGAGCAAGTGCCAGGTCCTGCACCTGGGACGGGGCAACCCTGGCTATACGTATAGACTGGGCAATGAGATGCTGGAGAGCAGCCCCACAGAGAGGGATCTGGGGGCTGTGGTTGACAGCAAATTGAATATGAGCCAGCAGTGTGCCCTGGCAGCCAGGAGGGCCAACCGTGTCCTGGGGTGCATCAAGCACGGCATCACTAGTCAGTCCAGGGAAGGGATTGTCCCCTTCTACTCTGTGCTGGTGCAGCCTCACCTTGAGTACTGTGTGCAGTTCTGGGCACCGCAGTACAAGAAAGACATTAAAGTGTTTCTTTAACTTAATGTGTTACTTACTCTGGGCTGTGCTGAAGAAGGGGAGTTCTCTAGAGAATAGTGCTGAAGAAGGGGAGTTCTCTAGAGAATAGGTAACGGCTTAACGCCATGCTTCTTTCAACAGTCTAAGAGGCTTTTGTGTATATCTCATGTGCAGCTTTTGCTATGGATTTATGAAGGATACAATTAATGCAAAAAAAAAAATCACAACCCTTAGTGAATTCCCAAAAGACAAAGTATGAATCTGGCTAAGTTATGCTCAGTTAATTTTTTGGTGATGTCTGCTAAGTTGAACATAATGCTTTAACTCTGAGGCCTACTTCCCGAGAGAATAGAACAGCAAGATGTGAGCTGTCACTGCCCCCATCGTGTGATGAGCAGGGTTGAGGTCAAAGTAAGATGTCTTTGTAGTCCCAATTTACAGCAGAGTCCACTATTTGGGAAGCTTTGTTCTGTGCCTCCAGCGATTGTAATCAGTCCAGAGCTTGGCATGCAAGCAGGGCGAAGTGCAAGGTCTTGACCTGGGTCATGGCAATCCCAAGCACAAATACAGGCTGGGCACAGAATGGGTTGAGGGCAGTCTTGAGGAGAAGGACCCAGGGGTCCTGGTTGATGAAAAACATGACATGATCTGGCAAAGTGCACTTGCAGCCCAGAAAGCCACCCATGTCCTGGGCTGCATCAAAAGCGGCATGGCTAGCAGGGCGAAGGAAATGATTGCCCCCCTCTGCTCTGCTCTCATGAGATCCCAGCTGGAGCCCTGCACTCAGTTCTGGGGCCCCCAGCACAAGAAAGGCATGGACTTGTTGGAGCAGGTCCAGAGGAGGGCCATGAGGATGATCAGAGGGCTGGAGCACCTCTCCTATGAGGGCAGGTTGAAGGAGTTGGGGTTGTTCAGCCTGGAGAAGAGAATGCCCTGGGGAAACATCATAGTGGCCTTCCAGTACCTAAAGGGGGCTACAGGAAAGCTGGGGAGGGACTGTCAGGGAGTGCAGTGATGGGACAAGGGGGAATGGCTTTAAACTAAAAGAGGATACATTTAGATTAGATATTGAGAGGAAATTCCTTACTCAAAGGTCAGTGAGGCACTGGCACGGGTTGCCCAGGGAAGCTGTGGATACCCTAACCCTGGAGGTGCTCAAGGCCAGGCTGTGTGGGGCCTTGGGCAACCTTGTCCAGTGGGAGGTGTCCCTGCCAATGGCAGGGGGTTTGGAACTGTGTGGTCTTTAAGGTCCCTTCCAGCCCAAACCATTCTGTCATCCTATGATGCATGGCTAACAGTTGCTCTTCAACCTCTTGCACAAAAACACTGCAACAGTTAGTGTCTAGCTATGCATTTTTAGTGGGCAGTCTGAATCTGTTCATTTATCTGCTACAGACTATTCGTCCTTACAGATTCCTTTAAAGGTTCACATAGCTGAGCATCCTACTGAAATGCCTAGCTAAGTAATTTGAGGAACGGGTTAACTTTCTGATTTGTCTTCTGCTAGCTCCATGTCATTGCAGGACTGTGGTAAGAGTCATCTGATGTTCATTTATTTTTCTTTCCTGAGAACCTTGTTGTTGTTGTTTTAATTTTACTGACATTATTTCTGCTTGACTGACAGGGTATGCAACTGCTTGCTGCATACTTTTTTGTTCATATAGAACTAACTGCTAAGTTGTTTTTTGTTTTTGTTTTTGTTTTTTTTCTTTCCCCATAGACAATAGAAAACACTGAAGCATTCAATTTGGAGAGTGAAAGCTCCCGCCTGTAATCCACCCCTGCTAAATATCTTTGTGGAAATTGCAAACAAGAAAAATAAGCTTAATCTGGTCCAGTTCTCCCTTCGAGCAGTATTTTCTCTTTTAGGTTTAGAGGAATGCCATGTATGTGCTCTTCCATGTTGCATGCACTAGTTCTTTCTCAGTTCAAATGCAAACGTGTGATGGAAATTCCAGATAAGCAAAGTAATGGCGGATGTCAGAGGATGATGTTTGAAAAATGATGAGTGGTTTGAACTCTAGTGAGGGGCACAAAAACATGGAAAGAAAAGCAGGAGAGTGGAGAAAAAAGTGACTGAGAAGGCAACTGAGGGGTTGATAAAGTAACAGTGATGTGAAACAGGTTTCTGTGGAAACAGAATTGGCCAGAGTGTCCTGAACAGCTGCTGCAGGGGGTGCTGTCTGCAGCCTGGAGGCTGAGGTTTGTTCCCCCACAGGGCTCCAGAATTATGGAAGAGCTCCTCACCTGGGGCTTCTGCTCCTGCACCTCACAGCCTGAGGGTGTTCAGGTTCCTTTTTCCTGGGTGCTGACTCTCACCTTCCAAATCGAGGGTTGCAGGCTGGCTTTCCTCATGGAGCAGATTGCAGTATCCCACTTCACTAAGTACAGCAGAACCAGACTGTTTTCTTTGGCTAGGTTTTCTGTTGGTGTTCTGCTGGGTTAGTGTCTAGCAGCATGGAGTTTCCTGTGCCTTTGTAGGATTTGCTCAGTGCACCCAGCATGCTCCCCATCCCCCCCAAAATGTAGATGCCTAGAGGTGAGTGCTTTGGACTGAAGATTAGTTCTTATGTATGTATCTAGCTTTTAGATTATAGGTTTCATCATAGGTTTCAATAGGTTGTTAAAGGTATTTCTACCTCTTACCTCTCAGGGCTTATGTATCCATGTATGTAAAACTTACACACTCATCAAATAGATGCTAAAATAGAGATTATTGTATTTTATGTCCCATTAACAATGAATGTTGCAGCAGAGTGAATTCCGGCTGCACCTGGCTTTTGGCTGTTTCTGTGGGCTTAGTCACATTTCTGAAGCAGTTTGAACTAGCTGATAGAGGTAACATGAACGCTTTGCAGAGCTGGTCATTGCAGGCTGTCTGTTGAATGGATTATTTTTTTTTCCAACCCTCCTCTTCATTTCTTGCCTACAGATGGCATTAGATTGCAATTTGATTGCTAGTAATTGCATGGACTTTACTGAAGACACACTTGTCTCCTTACTTAGGCCAGTTGATGAAATGCTTCAGTCAAAATGTAAAAATATGGCCCTTGTGTAGGGATCTCTGTGCAACAGGTTAGTTTATGTTCTCACATTCCCTGTGCAATGTAGTCCCACCAATATTTTTCTTTTTAAAGCATAGAAATTACCATATGTAACCAAAACACAATATAATTCTGCTTTGGAAACTGTAGCTAGCTGGGGGAAAGGGGATCTTTAGTCAAAAACAAGTTTTGTTTCTTTTTTTACTTATTTATCCAAACCTCAATGGATAGTTACAGACTTGCTGGCTGCTGGAATGGAAGCACAGACACACACAAAGAACAGTTGGAAGGAGGTCAGTGAAAACTTAACTAAATAGAAACAAACCCAATACTAGTCTTTTGATCTTGGTATGTACCCACACCACCAAAGCAAATAAGCAGAATTTGGTTACTTAAAGCATACAGACCTCTCATTTTTGTGCGAGTGGAAGCCTCCATACGCATTAGAGCAGGGAAGCTGCTCCTGCCTGACAGTGATGGTGAGGATGCTGGGTGACAACAGTTACGTCTGAGGTCAGATGTTTTGCACCGTCAGTTATGAAAACTAAATAGCCTAAGGATATCTGTTAGCTTCTGTACTTCGTGCAGAGGGCTAGTGAAGCTGTTTGAAGATACACGCTTAGCCATGTAAAGAAAGTTTCTCTTCCCCTTGTCACTGATTGGAGGCAGTAGCTTGTCACAGCCTGAAATGCTTTGCAACAGCTGAAACTACTCAGGAGTTTTGGGGCTGGGGGAAGAGAGGAAGAAAAAGAGCTGGATGGGCACAGAAAAGTAGCTGGATGGGCAGGTATGGCTGCTTTGCTAAACAGCAACAGTACTTGATTGTACCACTCAGAGGCATTCTCCTCTTAATCACATTATTTGTGTGTGTGTGTATTTAGTGTTCACTGCCGACTTTGTTCTCCATCTTCATTAGCCTGGTGTTGGGTACAACTTCAGCAGCTGAGGTACCAGTCACTGACTACCCTTTGCCCACCTTCATTGAACCAGCTCACAGGCAGTGCCAGAGGCTCAGCCAACACGATGCCCCCACAGGTCAGCTCCAGTACATCTGTCTCTTCTGCCTTGCTCCCCACCAAGAAGCATGTATGTGTTGTGGTGCTGAAGTGCTGAGCCTAGCTGGCGGCAGAAGGGCTGGTATCTTTAGCTGCAGCCATTTGCTAATGTATTGGTCACTGGGACAGAATGTGATAAAATGCACAGACACGGGAATGGTGTTTTTTTTTTTTTAAATGATTTTTTTTAAAGAAACTGCATACATCAGAGACAAACAATAATTTAAATACCATGCAGTTTCAGTATGTACAAAAATTAGGACATAGAGATCCAGTTTAATTTTTTTCTACTTATTTACATTGTTTTCATACAGCCATAATCTGTTAAATTACAATACTGGAAGAGCACGTTTGACAGCCACCACACTCACTCCTATACAAAGACGAACTATATACATACACTTGGTTATCAACTGGCAAATGTAACTGGTGCAGGAGTACCTGGGGCACATGGGAAAGCAGGTAATGTGCCCATCACCTCCTCTTTGTTTACAGAAGTTGTTCCAAGCTCAAGCGGACTAAACACCTGGGAAAAATTATTTGTCCCCCATTTTCTTTCCTGATTTTTATTAGCCTAGTCATCTCCCATGGCTATACAAAGTGGTTTTATTTGCAGGCACGTTGGGGAGCCCCTGTTCACATGTAACTGTGGGTTACCATCTTACCCTTTTTTGTGTGTGACTGTGTGAGTGCAAACATTCACTAGGCAGGTTGGAAGTGCTCCCAGTCTGTAGGTTTGTAGTGTTTCCACTGTACAGATGGCACTGTAGAAATAATGGATGGTGGGTTTGGTGTCTATTTGCAGTGATGACAAAGTGCTCTGGTTACACACAAGCCTTAGGCTGAAATATATTTGTGTAATGGGCTTACCTACTTTCACTTAATATAGTTAAAAATGAAGGTCTACTATATTATTTTCCTACCTTCTATCTCTTATGGTAGTGTCTAGTGTGTGCTAGACACAAAAGCTGGCCTGAGTCCAGTTACAGGAAACCTGGAGCCTAAAACTGTTTTAGCTGGCAATTACCTAAGGTGTGGAGTGTGGAAAGGCCACAATGCTGACCTTCCCTGTTAGTCATAAATACATCACCATGTCCCTACAGTTGACTCCTGGCAAGGGTGTAGGTAGTTGAGAGGGCAATGCCAGTGTTGCATTAGCTCACCATAACTTTTTAAAAAAACAAACAAACAACACTTTTATCTAGAAGTTCCTGCAGTTGCTATTCTCTTTTTTCTCCTCAGTTTCAACCCGTTTCCATGGTCTGTAGGACAGGTGTCACATTACTTGGTTATTTTAAGGATGGAAAGATAGCCCATTGGGATTGAGTAGACAAAATGTTTTTCTTCCTTAACTCTGGTATATTACATGCGTTATCAGCCCTGGAGACCAATGATTGGAATAGCAATTTTTGTTCTGAGTTGACTTTTTTCATCCTCTAAATGACACTTCTTTATTACTACTGTTAAGCTCTTCCTAATGTGAATGAAGATGAAGATGACTGGTATTAACTGAGCCTTCAGCAGGAATGTTATCATTATTTCCTTCATGTAATCCAGCTCGATGGAGGATGGAGAATCATGACTTTTTTTTTTTTTTTTTTGTCTCCCAACAGAATTACAGCTACTTGCTGTGTGTGGCTTTCACAGACGAGAAAACCAAGTGCTCAAGAAAACAGATTTATAAACAAACAAACAAAAAATCTAGCTGTTCCTCAGTCTGCTCACAACTTCCCACAAATGACAGAGCTGGGTGTGCAAACTGAGGACACACTGCATTGTTCAGCCACTGAAAGCTTGTTGAAGAATGCCTGCCAAGGGTAACTTTGCTAAATCCCCAAATCCAAAGCTAAAACCAGGTGAAGTGCCAGTTCTGTGATGCTTACTAGTGTCAAACACTTTGTATGGCTTCTTTCTCTTTCTTCTCCCTTTCCAGTAATAAGCTATACTTGCTATTTGGGAGAAATATGTCGGTTCTTCCACTGTGTCCTGGTGTCTGATCAGACAGTTAGGAGTTAACATCATTAAAAAAAAAAAGGCATTGCCATACATTGCTGCTATGGGGACAGCACAAATCCTGAGACAGCCAGAGATGGATAGCTTGCTGAGAGGTCAGCAGGAACCTGCCATCATGGGCTCATCAACTGAAGGCAAGGTAGTGGGTGGGTGGCATTTACCCAGGACTTGGGCAGTGGTTGAGGAGCATAATAGCCAAGGGTTTATTTAGGTACCAGACTGGCAGCTGTGAGCACTTCTGGGGTCTGCTCCCCTGTAGACTCTAGCACAGACAACAGGCTGCTTCTTCTACATTTTTCCTCTTGATTTTAATCATTAAATTAGAAAAAAAAAAAATCACTTTTTCCTCCGTACCACACCCTGTGATTTCTGTCTCCACTGTTCCTCAACTGTTTTTCCTTTGCATGCTGAGCCTCTAAGCTAATAATGCTGGGGCAGGTATAGGCTCTATGCTGGGAAGACGAGGGCTTGTTAGTCTTCAGAACAGCTGTGTTGCAGAACCCTTTATGCAGTGTGTGTGACCAAAAGCCTACGGTTCTGTTTTCCATCATAAAGCTTGTAATGTGGTCTTGTTATATATGCATGGAAATAAATTTAAAAATCACGAACCCCAGCTTTTCAGGAATGTAAATGCAAAGCAGTATATTTCTGACTATGAGTGCCCTGGCGTTGCTGCACTAAGCTGATAACAATGCACAGTACAGGCTTTCACTGTAGATGAACCTAAAGCCACTGTGAGCTGCTGATACAGGAATCACTGTGTCTATTTGGGAATCATTGCCTGGTTTGGGAAGAGTATCACATCAGAGGCAGATGCCTCAAAAATGAGGCACCAGAAACCAGCTTTTTTTTTTTTTTTTTAACTTCCAGTTGTCTCCAATGGAGCACAAATCTGTGCGGTAATCCTGTGAGTACCACTGCAAAGTGTAGATGGAGTCTGTTAGCCTCCTGACAGTGTTGTTTGGGCAGGCTGGATGCTGGAGTGACTCCACAGGCTACATGCAGCTTCTTTTGCTTTACTCCTGTGTCCAGAGGAATGAGACTGAGGCCTGAGATGAGGCAGAAGTCATTGGCGTTCTGCAGCGTTGGCCAGAAAATGCTGATGGGTGAGATGTCTCTCAGCCAGCAATTAATAAACGGCAATGTTAGCATGGCAGCAGGGGAGGCAGAAAGGGAATGCAGAAGAGTTGATAGATACATTGAAGACAGTGAGAAATAAAAAATAAAGTAATGGTAATGCTGCAATTTAAAAGAAAAGAAAACAAAACAAACTTTGGCTTCTCTGTTCAAACTTTCAAAGCATACTAGCTGGTACAGAAGCAAAAAGGTGTCCTGAAGTAATAATCTGGAAGTTCTTACAGTAATGTTGCTACAATCCTTGGGATCACTGATTCAAAACATGGCATGATAGTGTCCTATCTTGAAAAGAATCCTCAACAATGTTTACCTAAGCTTGCTGTCATTATTACTAGTTAAGGTTTTGAATGTGGAAGGTGCTGGCCTAGGTTAAGAAAAGCACTTAAATGTGTCTTCAATTAACCCTCTGAGATCTATTCTTAAATTCAGTGAGACTATTTGCATGCTTGCTTAGTGCTAAGCACATGCTTGAGTTGGTAGGTAAACCAGACCCAGAGCATCCAGCTCTCTGAGCCCTATTTGGTCAGTTTGTGTGTTAAACCACTGTAATAAAAATAAAACCAAAACAGAACACCCCTGGATTTCTGTCCTTATGCTTCATCTGTAGATGCCAGTGACAATTCCATAGCAATGCAACAGACTCCTTTTGTTAGGCCAGGCACCATACTGTCATGCTTTTCTCAGTACATGTTTAGGACCAGTTTTTTGAACACTTGGTGCAGGAAAGCTCGCTATCAAAGCCCTGGGTCTTCCTGTTGTGTGCTCCCTCTGCAGAGCAAGTGGGTGTCCCAATCTTGAGGCTTGAGCATTAAAAACAAACTACAAGCTGAGCAAATGCCATGCAAGTGACTATGAAGAGATGGGTTTTGCTTGTTTGTCCTCAATGTTCTTGTAGCTTACTGCTGCTGGGTTCATACCTGGGTTTAGGAAATTATTCTTGAAAGAGATGAAAAATAAGCAGTTACTAGAACCAGCCTTCAGCAGGGAGTCCTGTTCTTCACAGATGATGCCTTTGTCTTCTTGGGCAAATAACTGCCATAACTTCTCCAGGGAAAGCAAGTGCCTTTGTAGTCAGATGGCATTTGCAGATGGGGTGGCATGTAGAGTAGTTCTGCTCCTTCACTGTTCTTGTAAGGCGTTTGCAGACTAAAAGGAGTGTTTGGTATCAAAAGTACTTCCGTGCCATAGGTGCAGGTCTGCAGGAGACTTCACCCAGGCCAGTGATTCCCTGAACGCTATCTCAGGACTCTTGAGTTGACAGAGGCTTGTCAGGATGAGGGGTGTCTGAAGATGAAATAATGGATGCCCCACCAGCTGGGCTTGAACATGTATGGCAAATCCACGTGCCAGGAAAGTCTTATACATAGATGCCAGGTCTTGGCATGATTCCCACCAGGGGTATTTCCTGTTATTGAAGCTTGAACCAGCAGGTCTGATGATGCTGCAGTACCCATCACACGTATATACAATTTTCTTTTTAATATTTATTTTCTACTCCTTTTTTTTTTCTTTTTTTTTTCTTCCTTTTTTAAAAAAAGGCAGTTCAGAAGATTTACATTGTACGTAACAGGAAAGTGAATAATACCAGCACTTACGGTTCCTTTTAGTTATGTTTTGAAGATGGCATAGTAGTCAGGTAGAATTGAACTGCTACGGTCTGTGAAACCTAAAATGCAAGGGGGAAAAAAATAAGAGAATTAGCAAGATAATATCCTCACACGCATGTTGTACATAAAACAAAACCAAAATCAAAGCAAAACAAAACACTAATTTCTAAAAGTTAGTGATAAACATAGGCAGATGAATTCCTGCAATACTGACATCCATTATGCCGGCACTGTGGACCCAAAATACGCACTGAAATTTCCTTGGTCCTCGCCAGACTCAGGAGTTCACAGGCATTAGCAGTTTGCATCAAAATCAACTGAAAACTGAAAAGTTTTAGGTCTACCTGGTCCTAGTGTGAGCCATTTCAGATGAGCTAGTCCTCCTTCAAGCCACACCATGCCTGATTCTAAAACAATTGCTTGGTTTAGCCAGACCTTAAGCTCTTCATCCAGGAAGATGATTTATATACCAGTCAAGAATTTTTCCTTAACGTCTTCAGATAAAGAGACAAGCAGGGCTCAAATGGCCACCCTTTCTGCAAGTGCAGTCAGGAGGCTCGTGCTTGTCAGTCGTACAAATGTGTTTTTTAAGGTTTGATTTTTCAATTTTTTGAACTTACATTCTTTGTCCACCTTGTGCCATTGCTTAATGATATGAACAGCTCATTGCCTTGCTAATGAATTTATAATGGTGATACATCTAAGTTTGTTTAAGGGAATTACTCTCTTGTTTAAATGTACTTCCTTCAAGTGCGTATTCCCCGAGGCCACTTCTCTAATCAGTAAATGCTGTTGAACTTCAGACAAACCCTTATTTCAATTTCTATTGTATTAGCTGTAGCTCTGAGCTTGATAGATTTCACACACAAACTTCAAAGGGTGACTGCTCACCCCAGCAGTGGAAGAGAAGCCAAATACTGCCCAGAAACCTGCAAAAGCCAAGCAGGTAGAGCGATCTGGAAAACTAAACCAGTCTCTAATTTTGTGGGATGCTAATATACCTCATGGAAGTCATAGGAGCTCAACTTCTTGAAGCAACAACCGCCTTTTAAACAATCTCATCCTTTGTAAATTAGTCACTGATACTTTTCTCCTGGAGGATTGAGAGAGTGAGCCAAATGTCCCTCAACACCTCAGTCACTGGGTTCAACAGCTCCAGGCCTACTGTACACCACAAAGCTTCTTCCAGACCTCCTGGCTCTCAAAGGCAGCTTGCTTGTCTCTAGCAGTCCTTCATTATTACACATCCCAATGCAGTTATCCTCACCCATGATAGAAAGTTGAAGTTATATCATTTCCACAAGGGGATATGCATAATAGATGTGGTGAATTTTAATGTAATTAATAATTTATACACCAAAAAATCCCCTAATACAAAATTAATTTTGCCTTAAGCTTTTCTGTATTTCTCTTAAAAGTTTTAACTGCATTTTTTTATGAGCACCTATCTGATGAACTTATTAATACAAGGGCAGCTCCAGTTTTGCACGCAATTTCACTCTTCACTTGTCCTGAATGTCTCACTAGGCCTTAAAATCTACCACTTGTCTTTACTGTATATCCATAACTGTGAGTTAATGTTGATCTGCAAAGGACTGAGTTCAGATGAGCTTCCAGGAGTTTAGCTCATCCTGGCCTCAAGACAGAGTTGCTCAACACAGACTGTTAGATGAAGTATCCTGACCTGCCACTGTGGTTTGGCAAAAAAAAAAAAAAAAAGAAAAAAAAAGTGCCTTTCTTACAATGCAGATCTCATTGTTTTCCCACTATATTGCCTATGGTGAGATGTGGAGAACAGGACTAAAAGATCTGTGCATGGAAGTGAGTAGCATGGAACAGTTGTACACTCAGCATTTGATTTGCAGTCACTCATTCATCCTCTTCTGTGTGCCTGCTCTACAAGAGTTCCCTGTCCTGCTCTTCAGACATCAACACTATTTACTCTTGTTATCAGAAGAACTGACAGGCACTAGAGCATGATGATTTAAAATAAAATAAAAGGAGGTCATGCTTTATTACACAGATGCACATGTTTGTATACAACCCTGTAAATACGGCAGTATGAGTTCATCTGTGCGAGTTTCTTTGACAGCTTGTAATTCTAAATGGTGTCTAGTGCTCAGAGGGTACTCAAGAAATAGCTACTGATTTTTTAAATACTTTTTTTGAAAACGGCAGTATTCATTCCTAGTCTTAAAAAAAATCTCAGCTTACCTTGTTAGATGCCTACTTAATTCATGAACTTCCATTTCAGTGCTTTTAAATTCATTAAGCTCTTTTCGAATGGCTGCCTGTAAGAGACAAATAAGCTCATAAATATATAAATGAGAGAGATCAAAATAAGTTCACTTTGTTCTCAGAGCATTGTATTTTTAATATAGCAAAGCAGATAGATAACATTATCAGAGAGAGAAGACAACATAAAAAGAAACTTTAAAATGTGAAAAGGAAAAAAAGATAAATGTTCTAAATTGCATTAATGGAACAGAGAAATGCGTGAGTGGGATGGATCAGTTCGGAAATGTATTGTAGACAATGCAGATAGTCCCAATATTGTAGACAATGCATAATAAGTCACAATTTGAACTCATAAACACTTTCAAGTACAAAATCCAAATTAGAATAAGCATGAGAAAAAAAAAAGGGCACCAGTGTTTCTCAGACACTGTGTTCTGTTTCAGAGCTGGACTGTGAGTAAACTTGGTGTTGCTGCTTCTCACCAGACTCGTATTTGAGATGTCTCCCCCCCTCTATGTGGTCCTGAATTTCCTCTGGTGAAGCCATCTAAAGGGGCTGAACTTACTTGAGAAGGAAGGGGATTGGCACTGCTTTTCTGGTCCCCTCTCTCTGCCTTGGATATGCCCCTCTGCCCCCCTCCTCTGTTCTGCCCCAGCTCTGCCATGTACTGAACTGATGAGATGCTCTAATCCAGCAGAAATTGTATTCAGTATCAGCAGGAGAACTGCTTACCTATAGCCTCTGCAGTTTGTCCACTGGGGAAAAGAAAACTAGGGATGAGTGACAGGAAGGGAAATATTGAAGAGCAAGGGGTGACTTGGAGGGATTTGGCTTCTTGGTGGAGAAGGAATTCAGCAGAACTGGCTCAGGTACCAAGTCCCAAATTACAGGCTTCTCACAGCCCTGTGGTATCTGTAGCTTGTAAGTGGGCGTTACTGGGAGTGTATAGAGAAGACGTGCAAGGTGCTACTGTGGCTGAATGCTCCCATGACTTCAAGGCGTGCACCACTGCTGAGAACACTGGAATCAGCGGCTGAAAGCAGTATTTGTGTCTGCCAGGATTTTTTCTTGATTAAGGAAATCTAAACCAGTATAAAGAGCACGAGCCCAGAACAGGGCTTCTGCAGCAACCATTGATCCATTCACCAACTACCTTTGCTTGAACAAGCCCTAAGTGATAGATCCTGTGCATGTGATCTACAGAAAAGGTCCCTTGTGCTCTTTTTACAGAGCTTTTTTTTTTTTTTTTTTTTTTTTTTTTTTTTTTTTTTTAACTCCAGAAATGTCTATCAGGCTCTGCCTCCATCTATCAGGGCAAAGAGATAGTTATGCAGCAGCTTCAGGGTCTGCCTTCAGCAGACCAATTTGCTGCTTAAGCAACCGTGAAGGAGGTTATACAGGCTGCTGACTCCCACAAGGTCTGAAATCTGTTACCCCCTGCGTCCCTCAACTGCTGGTAAGATTTAGAAGTACCCTTTTCATTTCTCCAGCAGTCAGACTTGGTAAAGTTGAAGCCAGACTGAACGCAGCTCCCCACATCCAGCACACAGAGTAAGATTTACGGAGAAACAGAAAATCCCATTACTAAAATCTATTTTTGCAATAAATCTATCCTGTGCCGATCAGTGAAGGCAGTCACTGAATCTGAGTTTTGGAAGAAAATAATCTTTTATAGGATGTTGCAGCTTTGTCAGGTATTTTAGAGTTGGTTGCAATTTGGCTATTTTTTTGCAACAGAGGACACGGTGGGGAAAGCGGGTGCTCTGAATGGCACAAATCAGAATACCCTATCAGATGACCAAAATGTGAAAAAAGAATATGTATCTGCTTCTTTATGCTAGAGGGGACTTTTATATTAGAATGACAAACATATTTTCTTCTTCTGCTTTGCTGAGAAAAGGTTGATTTGGAGAACTTGAGCCCTTTGATGTGTATATTGATCTTGCATTATAAAAAAGTGACTTCAAAATACTTTTCCTTCATACTAAATTATTTACAAGGCTACATTTAGTAGTGATACTCAAGGCTACATTTAATTGTGATACTCAATACTTGTGCTTTTCACAGATGTGGGATGAGAAAAGACCTCGCTGGGCACCACATCTTTTGCCTTCCCTCTCTCCATGCTTTTCAATCCAGACAGAGGTCTCTCAAAACTGGCAGAACTGGTTGGAGATTTTTTTTCCCTGCCTCATCTACCAAATGGGAGAAAATAACTGATAGGTTGGCTAAGTCAGTTGACTGAAATCTTGTCCAGTGTGGAGTGGTGAAATGGGAAAAGCTAATTTAACCCAGTATGTCACAGGCTGTGGACAGTCCAGAGGAAGGTTTTTTTTTTTCAAATTAGTTTATGCAACATTATCTGAAAACTAAACTGAAAAGGGCCTCTATCAAGGCAAAAAACAGTGGTTACAATGGTACTTCTGGCTTCAGTGGAGTGGAAGTGCTTTTGCCAGTTTGACCTGCTGGCATTTTTGCACCTAGGTCTGCTCAGTTCTGTCAAGGTCGGCTGTCACACTGCACTCTTAGGCCTGTCCTGTGGAGAAACACTTGCAGGTGCTCTTAGCTGGCAGGATTATGTGGCAAGACAAATAAATACCACAGGGCCACCATCAACACTTTTCCTCAAAGGCTCTGATACTCTATCCTTTCTTCAGATGGTGTAACACTGCTAGGTTTCCACACATATAGGAGTCTTTTTGCCATAGATTTATAACTCAAACAACAAGTGTTGTGAACTGAGAAGAAACCACTGGTGGTGGGAAGGGAACTCACATGGAGGTCTCTCCCTTGATGGCTGTGGGACCTGAGGGGTACTGTTTGCCACAACATGCTGTAGCTATTCATGACATGGCTTTCCCCAAGTTGCTTCACTTACTTTGTCGGCGGCTGTGAGTCGTGTCCAGGGTTTGTCTGCCCTCCTATCGTAGTCCTGTGCATCTGCCACTTCCACGTAGTCACTGAAGCGGATGAGGATCTTCCTCTCACGCAGCTCTTCTACCGTAGGCCTTTGACTCAGCTGCAGGTTTGAGGAAGAAGTGCAAAAATCCATCAGGACTTCCCTTCTTCCCTGCAAAGTGCTGTTTTGTGATCTTTTTACTACAACCATCGTTGTCATACCAAAAGGGTTCAGACATTCCTGGTACTGTTGTTTTTATATAAACTTTCACAGACTTGCTACCTGGGAGATAGATAACCTGTTGCTTGCTATAGCACTTTGTTTTTCATCCCACCTTGCTTCTGGAGCAGCACACTGTTGTTTGGGTAGCAGCTGTGGCTGGAGACCCTGATTCCTGGTTAAGGTTGATCACCCCTGGCAGAAATTAGATGTAATGTAAGAAAAATAGTGCACTGATGTCTAAGGAAGAGATGAAGGCCACAGCATAACTTCAGACAACCTGTACGCTCCCCCGCCTTGAGCTGCTGTGTGTGCTTTACTACTGCCTGAAAAGAGTTAGCCACAGGAACAGAGCATTTCCTGCCCTGAATTATATGCAAAAAGTGATGAACAACTTTCCTTACCATTCTGATACTCCACAGACTTGTCCTTACGTCCTGAAAAGGCAGGCAGGATGATGACTATTGCTCGCTGAACTTTTCACTTTGTGCTGCAGCTCAGTTTTATGTCACAGCATATTTGACTTTAACAGTTTATATTGCATACTACGAGCCAAAGAAAAAGTTACAAGGGTGGATTGTATCATGTCAAGAAAGCCTCTTCACTGTTCCAAAGCCAATTCTTTCAAATTCCACAGCAGAATGGGCAGCCACAGTCAAAAATATTTTCTCAAATTAGAAACAGTAGTGTGCTGGTAGTCCACGTATTGTCCAGCCAGTTACATGGCCAAGGACAGATACTGGTTTTGGGGGATCAATTCTCCTTGGATGCACAGCTTGCTGGTTAGTGTCAAGTGGAATTACACAACTGTTTCTGAAGAAAGGTACTACAGATGTGTGCACATGGATGTACATAAGCTGCTAATCCTCCATTAGTGAAACATTTGTAATCATATTACCAGGAAAAACAATCACATCCTGCTAACAATTAGCTAGACAGTGTATCATGCTATCATTAGAAAAAGTTTACTTTGCAATACTTCACTCTTGTGACTAGTGAAAAGTTAACAAGTAAATAAAACACTTGAGACTTTTCTGCAAAGGTAATTAGGCTCCTGAATGCAATTCCACTTACATCCCAAATTGAGTCTCTCAGGTCCCTGCATTTCATCTCTCAGATGAATATTCTGAATTAAGACTCAAACCAGACAGGATGCTAAGTAGAGGATGAAAAACTTGTGAGAGCACAAGAAAGAAGCCTTCCCTCCATCATCCAGGTGCTGATGCAAGTTTGTTCATCACCCCACCGCAGCCTGCCTCTGCATTTAAGTTCCTGTGTGGTTGGCCTTACAATGGATAGTTGCCTGGCTCTTCTCTTTTTTGAGAGGGTTGTTCCTGGAGGTCACAGCGGGGCTGCTTTCCTTACACAGATAGTTCTGAGTTCTCACACACAAAGTGGGTTCAAACTTACGTAGAGAGTCTGCAAAGCTGTGCTAATGTCCCATCTCTTTGACGCTCAGGAGAACAGGAGCCATGCTCTACCCCTCCTGGCTACAGCTGAACTATTTTGCACACACAGAAAAGTGAGAAATCATGGGAAAAAAAAAAAAAAGTGTATCCAGGAGCACTACTCTACACTCTGCCATGTAATGCCCTTGCCTAGGACAACAGGCATCGATCAAGTTGCAGCTTGGTGATTCATGTATTGCCTCCAAAGCCATTTTAAGGTAAATTACAAAATTTAATAGGGGAAAAAAAGCTCCTTGCTGTTTTGAAAAAGAACAAATTAGAAACTTCTGAATATTGCAAAGATCTTAAAACTAGACAGCTTTCTCATACACACCATCTTCTGTGGGAGGCATGAAGATTCATGGGAGGAGCTGCTCTGCATGTGTTTGTCACCCAGGATTTAAAAACTTCCTCTTATTTCCTCCAAAAGCATCCCAATAAAAGCCCCATTTAATATACCTGTGTTCAGGCCAGCCATACTCTAGTCAGTCAAATAGCACATTTATGCTGAGGTCAGCAAGAAGCATGCCTTTCTGAACTTAGACACCATGTTTTGGTCACCTTTGTTTTACAAGCAAAATGCATATACAGCAGGAATAATTTAAATAAATAAATAAATAAAGTCAGAAAAAACGAAGGGTGCAATAAAATAGATTGAAACATGTATAGATTTGAAAATGTAATTTTTCATTCTTCATACAAAACAGAATTGCTTCTTCATCCTGCAACCCTGATAGCTAAACCTAAGTTACCTGCAAGCCATATACACAGCACAATTAATAGATGGGCTTTTAACAAAAGCAAGAAATACAAACTTGTACCAGGCCTGGTGTATAACCATAATTATGCTGTAAGTGAGGCTTCTCTCTGTCCTACAACTCCTATCGAATGTGATTTCAAATGGCTAGGTTTTTCTATCAGCCCTAGTACTAGGAGCTGGCAAATTTGTTGGCACTAATGCATTATTATTCAGATAGCACTGCAGAATTTTTCTTCCAATTTTTCTTTTAAATCTCTGCTCAGGCTCTGCGAATAGAGAAAATCTTTATACTAAAATGATATTACGATTACAGCCAAACGTTTCAAAGGGTGAGACTCCACCTTTACTTCCATTATCTGCTTTTTTTTTTCTTTTTTTTTTTTTTTCCTTACAACAGCATGAATTAAGGATGAATCACCAATATTATCTGTAAACTTTTCAGCTTTTATCATTTCAGGACAAAGCCTAGACTCTACTTGAAATCAGAATGGTATTGTTTCTTTAATAAAATGTTGTATTACATGAAGTATGATGACATCAAGAAAAAATTAAATCCTGTCAATTTAACAGTGTTTCTAAATGTCTACAAGGGAAACAGGAACTCCTATAAGCTTTTCAATCTCTAAGAGGCTTTTCAAAAAATGACTGGCTCTATTTCACAGCTTCTGTCAACTCTTGACACTAGCTGACTCTTGTGTTTGTGCTCATCTTAGTGATGAGCAAGTTTTTCCACAGGCGAAGGCAGATGACTGCTGATACACTACAACATGCTATGCCAAGCCAACCTCTAGGTGGCATCAAGCATGCAAGAGTACCAAGAGCCACTGAGGCATTGGTACTTTTGCTGGCAATGGAAATTTACTACTGGTATTTACTTAAATAGAGCACCAGGGTCTTTAACAGCTGATATGGCTTCTGTGGTGCCCTGGGTCTGGGTTAAAATCACAGAAATAATGGTAAATGTTGAGCACTCTATAATAAATGAGACAAACCTGAGGTAAGTTCTTGTGTTCACAACTGCACAAAACCAAGTTAGGTGCATCACTCACATGTTTCACAGCACTGAAGCTCACTGCATCCCTTCACTATGGTGCACATAGTTAGTCATACATGAAAAATTGTCAAGTGCATAAGCACACTATGAAATTTCAGTGTTAATGTGCACTTTTCATTCTTAGATGATACCTGAATGCAACACAGACTAAAAGCTAATTATTCTCTTCCTCTGAAGTCATATGACTACTAGACATTATTTTTAGCTGCCCCACCTTTGCTTCAGAAACATGCAACCAGTGTAATTTCAAGTACTTGTACACCCTATTACAGTGGTGGTTTCCATCTTTGTTCCCACCGAGCTACTGGGGCAAGTGAAACTCAGAGATGTGGGAGGTATTGCCAGGGGTGTGGACAGGCCCCATGGTTGGTGATAACATCAGACTCCTGACATGAAGCCATGAGGACTGTAAACAAGTTAGAAGGAACAAAGAAGGGTGATTCAGGAGAGGCCTTGCTGTCTCAAACTGCTTGTTCTCCAACTCTTAGGACATGGAAGTTGTTAAATGTTTGGTGTTGCTGGGCAAAGTTGTTAACCAATGAATAGCTAGTGGGAAAGTATCTCTGGTAGAGACAATGGTATAAGTAGGGAGCCTGTCCTCAATAAAGTAGTTAAAGTTATTGATCCCTAAAGATAGCCTGGTGTCCGTGTGGTCATTATGCCACAAATGGTGCCCGAACAGGGACATGAAGAACAGGAACAGACAAGCTAACAGAACAGGGACAAAAACAAAAAATGAATGAATAGGGACAGGCTTTCCAAACAGGGACCAGGACAGGAACAGGGACACTGATCGCCTCATGAAGATAGGTTTGGCTGAACACAACAAGCTGAAAGAAGCGGATCCTGTGCTGAAAGTAAGCTGAAGCTGAGAGAAGCGGACTTGCGCACACAACTGCCTCTCAGTGGCCGAAGGTAAGCAGCTGTGTGTCACGGGGAATTGTATGTTCGTAGAAACAAAGAATGTCCTGGGAATCTTCCTGCTTATTCCCTCTATTACGAATCAGACAGTTTATGATCTTGAAACATGAGACCAAATTGGGGTCAGGCTTTGGGACTCTACTACTAAAAATGACAAGGCTATGGCAGGATTGCTCGGCACTTGGCGAGCAGTCTCTGAGGCTTTAACAAGCCATGTGGGACCACAATCAGAAACGTGTGGTTTGCCAGATAGTGAGGGAGCTGCAGGCTCGTCTGCCGATCTGCCTGCTATGCCATCGGCATACCTGCTCCTACAGCCATTGCAGGCCTTTGCTGTTACGCTGCCTGGTGACCTGGACGTGCCTTTTGACCCAGGCCCTATAGGCCCCAAAAAGGCCCGTTTTTCTTCAATCTGGGAGGAATAGGATACACAGGGCCTGAAGGCCGAGTTGCTTAACAACTTACAGTGAGACATGTCCCCACGACTAGCCCCTGGAACTTGCTGGTATTTGTAATCAAAAAGTGGAATAGAAAGTGGAGACTGTTACATGATCTGAGAAAAAATAATGAAGTCATGGGAGACATGGGAGCACTTCAACCAGGATTGCCATCTCCAAGTATGCTTCCCCAGTCATGGACATTAATAGGGTTGTTTGTTACACGTTTGCCAGAATTCAGAAAGCTTCGCTATGTTTATGTTTCAATTGATACCTTTTCT